TTATGGGAATATTAATTGCGTTTTTTTAATAAAAATAGAAGTTAAGTTTATCAAAGCAGAGAGAGGAAATTACCAAGAGTTAGTGTTGACATGGTTGTAACTTTTTTTGTCCAATGTGCAGAGTTTTCAAGTGTAGAAATGAAAGGGACTAAATTACTACGGTAGATATAAATCATAGTTGTTAAACTTTGTATTTTATTCAGCGGCTTCTACACATAGCAGTTATTTCAGCTCAACAAGAGAATCTTACGGCGTAAACGCAATCGGCTATGTCCAAATTAAAAGAGATGGAGAATTATGTACAGTAACAAGTCGAGTTACTCCGGAGCATAAAGTACGTAAAAAAAGTTATCGTGTTACAGTTATTTTAAATGAAACGCAAAGCTTGGTTCAGGTCTGCCAATGTGAAGATTGTGCCACACATTTTAAACTTTATCCAATTTTTGACGTCGTTCTCCAACTGTAAAATTAAAAATATGTTATAGACAGGTTTTGTAAGTATTACGTAGGTTACTAACGCGTTTTTACGTACAAGCACATTCATTAAGCACATAACAAATATATTCGTCGACTTACGTCAAAGTGATCTTCACAGCATCGAATAATGGTCTTTGGAGAATAATTGTCATTTCTCTTCGCAGCTTGAAACCATTTTTTCCTCAATTTGGGGTCAATTAAATTAATTCAATCAAAAGTCAAAAACAATTTATTTGGATACTTTGTTGAAGTAGATGGACACATTGGCACAAAACATGAGTCAACACGGCTTTTTTTCGGAATATTAGTGGTATTGTTATGATCACCTGATGTTGATGGATAGTCCATTTTAAATTTTTACAAAAAAATATCTCGAAAGTCGAAAAAATATGCAAAAGTATGAAAATTGAAAGCCAGCGACAAACAAGTACGACCATTGACAGACAGGAGTGGCGTCATCGGGACCATAGGTCCGTATTCGCGCGAAAATTTAAACTGTCAATTTAAAACCGCATTTTTTCCGATAAATTACAATGCTTTAATTTTTTAATATATCTGTGGTTTATTCTACATGGAATTCTTTAAAATGAAAACTAAAATAAAAAATATTGCATCTTCCCTATTTTTATATTATTTGCATTTGTAATGGAAAGTGACTTTATGAGGTACCTTATATTGAAGTCATTTTTCAATTTGACGACTCTGTATACAATACAGGGACAAAAAAATAATCATAAAATAATCTATCTAATGCCGCTTCCTATATACTAAATATAAAATTATTATTGTAACTTTATACATCTATATCCTAAATAATGTAATGACTTCAGAAGTATCTCTGAAGTCATTTTTCAATTTGACGACTCTGTATATAATACAGGGAGAAAAAAAACAGCCCTTGCTGAGTTTCTTGCTGGTTCTTCTCAGTACAAGGTCTCCCGCCGTAGATTTGCGAACCGATGGCGTAGCTTTTCGACATTCACAAGTGCTTGTAACAGCCTAGACTGAATAAACGATATTGAATTTTGAAAGCGTATATTTTAAAGATTCCACTAATTCTTCAGTCGCGCAGATGGTTGTAACATAAAATCACACCAATTTTATTTCACAATATCCATTAAGAACGAATTTAAGAATAATTGAAATAAGACGCCAACCGCACTCGATGAAATCCCGCCAAAAATTCACACAGAGATTGCGTCCACGTCCACCACTGAAAAAAAATTCGGTCTTAAATTTATCTGACGTGTTGTTTTGTGACCAGGGGGCCAATCGCCTATAGGAAATGCTTTGGGAAAAGCTAACGCTTTCGATTTTATATTGTTATTTCTAGCCGCCTGAGGTTTTCGAATACCTCACGCTCATTTTTTTTAATATTGTTATTACCAATGCAAAAGAAAAAGAAAGAGCGCGAGGCATTTGAATACCTCAGGCGGCTAGAAATAACAAAATAAAATCGTAAGCGTTAGCGTTTTGCAAAGCATTTCCGTTAGGCGATTGGCCCCCTGGAATGTAACGGAGGTAAATTTATCGGAACAGAAGTCGGAGTCGGAGTTTTTAAATTTGATTTATCGGAGTCGGAACCGGAGTCGGAGGCAGAGTTGGGGTCAGAGAAAGAGTTAGAAGTGGTCACAAGAGAGATATTTTTAATTTAAGAACAAATAAAAACATCATTCGGTCAAACTTTTTTCATTTTAATTATAAAATAACCATTTTACATTTAAATTTACATATTATTAACACAGACTTAACAGAATTAAGATCACTTAACATCAGGTGGGGTGGGGTAGAGTCATTTGCTTGCTATAAAAAAAAAAGACTCCCAACGCGACGGGTATGAACCAGTTCGTAAAGGTCGACGCAGGCCGCCGTCGCGCGTCGGTATTTGCTATGCTTCGACCTCCGATCAAAACCTCCGATTTAAAAGTTTCGGAGCCGAAATCAGAACTGAAGGTGTAATAATAATCAGAAGTTCCGACTTATCGGAATTGGAGTCGAAGCTCCGTAACATCCCTGGTTGGGACGCATCGCGCATCAGAACGGTATCGGTTTTTGATGTGTAACATCTTTCTTCTCGCTTTTCTGTCATTTGTGGGAGTGATTTCATGTAATGGGACGGAATTGTGTAACAAAAAGTCACGAAAGCGCGCACTATATTATTTGATTTTAGAACTTAATAGTTCAAATAACTATTACTATAACTTAATAGTAAAAAAGTTCAAATAGTTTATTCTTTGTGTAGTAGGTGTTTTCTTTTCCGCGTATGATACGCGGCTACTGTAAGGCTTTCAGTAATCTGTATCATACTATGATACTTATTCAGAGGTTAAATATTGTTACAAACGCTCTCGAAACGTAACCGCGAAAGTGACAGAGATCGAATTTGCCAGATCACCGCGGGTCGCGATAGAGGTCGAGCAAGGCTCATTCTGGAATGAGCCTTATGCAGTCCGACGTAAGGGAGAAAGTGCAACGACATCTGCACTTGTTTACAAGTTATGCGTGTTACCTGCGTTTAGGTATAAGTAGGTATTTCGTACTCGCGGGTGCTAGGTAATTCTCAATTTAATAGGTACTTTCTAGAATGCGTCGATCGGCGTATATAAGCGCGATTGACGCCGCGCAGAGACTATGCGTTATTTTAAACTATGTAATAGTTTAAACTAACGCAGCGCTGCATTATCCCCCTCTCAGGGGATAATCGCTTCAGATGAAGCTTGTAAGGCCCTTCAGGCCATAAGCATAAACTACGGGTGTGTATTAGTCAGTAAGAGTCTGACATAACCTTGCAGCCGGCTGTAAGGTATCCATGAGGATTTCACACCCGCTCCCCCGCCTGGGAGACAGTTGAGTTTCAACAGCGATTTCGGAGCGAATCCAAAGGCGATCAAAGTGCAACAAAAGTGTTCAAGTGAGATTGTTTAGAGACTTGTATAGTGAAATACAGTATTTAGTGAGTGTTTTGTAATTAACGTTGTGTGTTAATTGTGTGATCTGTGTGGTGAATAAAGAACTATCAAGCGTGAACTGGCATATAATTTCGAACCCCATCCCGACACGTAACAACTGGTGACAGAAGTGACATGCCAGTCACACCGCGCGACGGAAGCGAAGGCGTACGCACTCGACGGCAGGCCGTAATGGACTATTCGCGGGAGTCTGGAGTAGCGGCGCCTGAAGATGGTTCAAGCACACCACAGACGGCTCACCACAGTGGTGTTGTCGCTACAAGTACTGCGCCTGCGTTCGACATATCATCGTTAATGGCGGCTATGCAAGCTATTCAAGAGGGCCAACGACAAGCTATGGAGAGTCAACGACAAGCTATTGAGGACGTCAAGGAGTCAACGACAAGCTATTGAGGACGTCAAGGAGAGTCAACACCAAGCTATGGAGAGTCAACGACAAGCGCTCAAGGATGTCAAGGAGGACGTGAAGGCTGCTATTGACTCGAAATTTGAAGTATTCAAAACAACTTTGTGCGGTCTCCAAGACGAAATAGAATGCGTAAAGAGTCGTACCAGCAAACACCAGGAGACCCTAGACAAACACCAGGAGAGCATAGGCGAATGCAAGGAGACTCTACAGGTCCATGAGAAAATTTTAAGAGACCTTCGAAAAACCAAGGTCATCAGCACCGCCATACAAACCACGGGTACCACGGCACCTAAATTTAAAGTACCGGATTTTGATGGTACAACTTCTTGGACGGCATTCAGACACCAATTTGAAGTCGTAGCCAAAGGGAACGGCTGGGAGGACGAACATGCCCTGACCGCACTCACTCTTGCGCTCAGGGGGGATGCTCTTCTGATATTGGAAAATGTACCAGCCGATCAACGAAGTTTGGAAACTCTCCTAAGAGCTCTGGAGACATGTTACGGGGATAAACACCTAGAACATGTGTATCGAGCGCAACTAAAAGAACGGTCACAGAAACCAGGAGAAGGATTGCAGAAGTGGGCCACGGAGAGTGAACGACTGGTGCGTCGCGCTTATGCATCCAGTAAGACATCCATAGAAGATATTGTAGTTCAAGAGAGTATATTGTTCTGTGGTAGTATATAACTTCCATGGTTCCACGACACTCACGCATTTTTTCTACTCTTCGTACGGCGACCACACCCTTACCCCTCGTTTCCACCAAGAAACAAGTCCTTAACAAAACTTTTAGAATACTTGTTGTGGCTGTATATTACATTCTATCGTTTACACTGCATTGACTAGTATCTGACAAAGAGTGTTGTCAGGTCCATTTTTTAAAATCGGGAGGCGTTATTGAAAAAAAAAGTAGATGCAGAGGCGTACTTATGTTATTCTGCCGTGCTCCAGTTAATCCAAAAATCTCCGGTACCATTATGCTATACACTCAAGTTTCCTTGCAAGTACATTACATTCTGCGGTAGCTTAAATTAAGCCACAAATTTCCTTTCCCGATATTATTTATTGATCAATTTTCAAAAATCTTTAAATGTAGGTAACAAATGAAAATAATAGTAAATGTCAATAACTTTTATTTTAGTTAAACAAAGAAATGTATATATAATTTTATTATATTTATCGAATAAAATTATTTCTTATAAACAGACTTCTCGTCCATTGCGAGAGACAGCCACCAAGTTCCCATTCTAGCCGAAAATATGGCAAAAGATAACATAAAATGAATGCGGTTGATCCAATTTCTATTCCTAATTTATTTGAATTACAGAAAGTAACATGACTCGTTAAATTTGAGTCGCTAAGAGTGAGTTAGGCGGAAAAGAAGACATGCAATATCATACGCATGCGGCAAACTAATATAATTGGATCAATTGTACCACACAATACGTTAACATGTTGGATTCGAGGAATCGAAAGATTTCGAAACCTTTGAATGTGGTCAATTACGAGTTTAATGTAAGCTGAAGCTCGAAAGAAATGATTTGAAAAATCATTATAAAAATATATCACAGCAATTTGAATTAGCCCAGCTGTATCTTTGTTACAGAGATCAGAGGTAATCCTCATTAAAGGAAAAAATGCTTTCAGTCCATTTACTATTAATTTAATAGACACAGATACCATTACAACCGACCACATAGAAATATTTAATGAGAATATACAAATCTATATGATAATAACATTATAATAAAAACAAGAGTTCTATTATGTGGAGGTTTTCCATGTAGGAGTAAGTTGATGTCGGGACAGGGGCGTGGCTGGCCACGGATGAGAGGGTGCCGAGGGACAATGAATGGCAGCAAATGTCGCGTACAATAAATTACAAGCGGGCGTACTATGTGGATAGTGCTATTTGCAATGCTTCTTTATGCTCGTTGGATAGCTGCATCAGGCACGAGTTGAATAGCTCCGCGTTAGTCTGTGAACAAAAATTTTATTTTATGTAAATATTTGCCTACAACGTCTTGTACGGTACTAATCGAACATATTCAAATGTATAATGATGACCTCCGTAACCGAGTGGTTTGTACGCCGGGTGGGGGCAGATGTTTGTGTGATGAATACATGCATTTGTACTCCTGTCATAGATGTTTAGTAACTATTTCTATATAAAAATACTCATACATGTATACTATCCGTTACCCCAATATCCCATAACACAAGCCAACAGTGCTTACTCCGGGGCTAGGCTAAAATATTGATATTTATTCGCTACACTCGACTCTCACGTTACGAGTTCAGTGTACCTTCCTTCGGTAATATAAAAATAGGAAAACCAATGACCTCCACTCGTCAAATGTTGCTTGAAAAGTACGGTTTACCCTTTTTTAGCACTCAGCTAATTATACGGTACACGGGGATCATTGCCGCCATGTTAGGTAATCGCATCACCGCCGATGAGGAAGCGACTAACTATCGCCTATTTTCTCGCTAAGAAACGAAGAAACGTACAACAGATATACATTGCGTCTGAACAAGAGATGCCTATATTAATTTTTGATCGCAGACTGTTCACATTGCCTTCGAGATATCGCTCTACTGGTTTGTGGCTGACAAGAACTATCAAAAATAATATTGCCTTACACGGAATGTATATCTATTGTACGTTTTTTGAGCCAAAAAATAGCCGACAGTTAGTCGCTTCCTCGCTGGCGGTGGACAACCGCCACTTTCACGATCTCATCAAATCCATACTAATATTATAAATGCGAAAGTGTGCCTCTGTTTGTTACCTCTTCACGCTTAAAACACTGAATCGACTAAGATGACATTTTGTAAAGGCAAAGTTTGAACCCCAGAAAAGCAGATAGGATTTTATGCTGCTGCCTAGCTTGTTCAATACTTTTTCACTATGGAAACGGTATCTCATTATGATAATGTTTGTATTTATACTATACTAGCTATGCCAAGCGGTGTTACTCGCGGCTTATTAGGGATATTTTCCCGCGGTAAGGCGTAGCCTATGTGTTAATCCAGGGTGTCAGCTAACTCCGTACCAAATTTTATTAAGAGCGCTCCAGCCGTTTAGACGTGAAGAAGTAACAAACATACACACTCACAAACTTTCGCCTTTATAATATTAGTGTGATGACACAGATTAAATTGTGAGTTTATGTTTTATTAATAGTGACATGATTTTATGCAAATGTTGCTATTTCTGTTAAATGCTGATGAATTTCTTTGTCCATTCTTCTCATCAGCTAAAAGATGTTCTGAATGTGTGGTAGGAAAAAATATTGAACAATTCAAAAGAGCTTTCAATAAGTCAATTTGAATAAAGTATCATCATCATCATCAGCCTATTAATGTCCCCACTGCTGGGGTACAGGCCTTCCCTATGGATGGAATAGGGAGATTGGGCCATGATCCATCACGCGGGCCCAGTGCGGATTGGCAGGTGCTAACGACTGCAGATGCAGCCGGGACCGACAGCTTAACGTGCCATCCGAAGCACGGAGGAACGCGAGATAGAAGATTTTTGGTCACCCATCCAATGAACGACCACTACCAAAGTTGCTTAACTTCAACGATCGCAATAACCACCCGCGCCATCGAGTTCTTCGCTTTCATGAATGCTCATTTTTTTTTAATGTGTTAATCTTTACAGTGTCACCGGGTTTGGGGACGGCGAGATTCCAGGCGGATGGCATCTCCCTACGGGGGGAGGCTCCTCTCCGTCTGGAGCCTCTAGACCACTCGCACCTGAGGGGGTCGGCTCAACTAGAGTGAGTAAATGACTTTTCATTTCATTCCAATGCTCGGTACGCACCTGGATTTGTCGCACGAGCGCGGTCATCTGCGCGTGCACGGGGTTCCCCGCGGGCACGGCGTCGCGCAGGAAGGCCTCCGCCAGCACGGCGATGACGCGCTGCGGCGCGCCCGGCGTGGCCAGCGCCGCGTGCCCCGAAGCCGCCAGCTCGCACAGCAGCCCGTAAACGTGCGGCGCCTCCTCCACGTCTTCCACCACCGGCAGCCAGGTCAACCTGCAAAAACAACAAAGAATACGGTCACGTAACTCGCTCCTTGCGAATTATATATATATATATTATTATTACTTATATATGTTTATAGATATGTATTTTATGTAGTATATGTATATATATATATATTATGTTGTTTCCATAGATATAAAAATATTATAAGTAAATTAATGAATTCTTTTTGCACTACCTAAGATTTTTGCTAAAATTCTCCGGTTGACTGGTAGAGAATGCCTAATGGCATTAAGTTCACCACTTGTACAATAAAGTATAAATAAATGGAAATCATGAAACGGAAATGCGTCACGAGCGTCACACAACTATATATATATATATATATTTAAATGTTTATGTGACGACGAGCATGAAAGTTGGAGGGTAACTTGGGGAAGGCTAAAATGCTACGACGGTCACGAGCGTAACACACGATCATATATGTATACATATATATGAGTGATGCATGCGCTGCTCCATTCCCCTCAGCCTTATGTTGGGTTATTTAAGAAAAGAAGTTTCACTTCAGATGTGTGGTCCGTGCACACTAATTGTTTTTTCAATGGTAAGCAGTCACCATAGCCTATATATGCTTGCATTACAAAAAATACAATTTGCGACGTTGTTTGCCCTGACCCAGTCCCCTAACCCGTGGAGCACTGGGACCTTTACTCACCGACAGAAACACAACACCACCAACAGGTGGTGTTATTATACTGTGGTGGTCTTCTGTAAATTTGAAGTTACTTCCTGAGACAGGCGTTCCAATTCAAGCGAAAAATCCGCGTTTTATTCATATCATTCAATTGCTATTTGTCATTCGATGACAGATACAAAACATGGAGTAACTAATCCAAGCTTATTCTTTGTTTATTAATTAAGGTTAGTGTTTAGATATAATACTTATCCCTTTCAGGTCTGAATTTTTTTTTCGCAAAATTCGTAATTTTAGTTGTAGGTTTAGGATACTCAGAAATAAACTAATTATAGAAAAATATGAAAAAAAATCCTCCCCCTCCCCCTACTCGGTAAACAGCATAGCACGATCGTGCGTTGTCGGCCTTTACTTGTCTATCTGATGCCACTGCTGTTTATTAAAAATGGAGTAATTTAATACAAATAACATATTATGTAGTATTATCATTTATTTTTATCACTTAATGACCAGAATTTAAGAACACAATATTATTTTAGTATTTCAAATTAAAATCTCTTATTAAAACGAAAATAATCTTAGTAAAATAATAATAAAATCAGTCAACTTCTTAACTTAATAGGTAAAACTAAAAAAATGTTTTTGGTGGCATTAGAAAATCAAGAATCACATAAACAATTATTAAGCTATTTTTTGTGATACAAAGCAAAACAATTACTTCTTCTAGTGAGACATAAGTAGACATTACATTTGCTACATCTAATTTTAGATCTACTACCACAGCCTTCCATTCTACAGCTGCGTGGGCTGGCGATTTCATCAAACTCAGGATAATGCTCATAACCATCATAGCGTTTAGGTTCAGAGGGTGGATTGGCTGGTCGATACCTCCCTGAAGGGTGATTGGGTTCTTGGTTCTCAATATCCTGTTCATTATCGTCTGGGATAAATCTTGAACGGTTTGGTGTGTTGATTAGACCATCTGCCACTTGTAATTTGAAATCTAGCAAGTCCATTACTTGACCTCTATGAGTGTGTGCTAAATCGGAATGGATTTTGTACATTCTCCAAGCATTAGCAACTGCCAAGTCAAAGAAATGGAGAATAAATTTTAACGTCCATTTTTTTGTCTTCATAAATGTTCGGTAGTACTCAATACTTTGGTCGAGAATATCTACTCCCCCCATATTTTTATTGTAGTTGGCTATCGCTAGTGGTTGGTTTACATCAATAAATCCATTCTCCTTTTTCTCCCATCTCTTTACTTTCACTTCATCATCGGCAGAAGTACAATTTGAGGAGACTAAAACGGATTTATTCTCCATCCACTTTACAACGACAACTTTGCCACTTACGAACTGTTCTGAATCGCCTCGCTTCATTTTACGGTCGTCTTTGAATTTGAAGGTTCCTCTATCTGGTATCCTATTTGGCATCACAGTTCCTGTACCATGCAAACCAATTTCTAACAAAGGAATCGATGTGAAATATCGATCAAAGTATACGCAGCTTCCACGAGGTATAGTTTTTGATAGATGCAGAATCACAGCTGCACCAACTACTAACGATTTGTCCTCGAACGCTGTACGAACTCCCTGATAGACTTCAAAGTCAATCATAAGACCATCACTTGTAGCAGCTACGAAAGCTTTTAGACCTTGAGGTCTAGGTTTTGACTTGATTACCTGGCGTAATCCTCTCGGACATACACCGCAAAAGGGGATCATCTGTTCGTCAATGGAATAATGACCAGGTACTCTCTCATAGTTGTAGCAAGCTTGTTTTACTCGGTCAATTATTGGCTGCACCTTTCAAAGAGCATTAGTGTTATTTTCTGGAGCTGTTTCATTGCGAACAACGTGAAGACTAGAGCGCAGGGTCTTAAAACGGTCTCGTGACATTTTCCCGGAGATTAATTTCAGTTGCATCTCTTGTCGCCAATACATGTGTAGTCGCGGGTACGGTATGCATCCCATTATAAAATGGATACCCATTAACTTTTTGATTTCGGCCGCATTAGAGTTTAAAATTCTACCATGTACCCGTAGATGATAACTATTGGTACAGTAGGCCATTTCTTCAAAAAAATCATGTGGAAAATAATCTGAAAAGTATTCAAGAGCATTTCGAATATGTGCTACTGGGTCACGTCGTGGGTAGTTGTGTTCTATTTGGTTAAAGGGGATACTTTTCCACTGTCTTCTCTGAGATTCAGAGCTACTTTGTACTGTCGATGGTAAGTTGGACGAAGACGAAGCAGATGGAATAATTTTACGGCGTTTTGCTTGCCCACTGGTCGAAGGAGCTATTTGATTGCTGTTGTATCCGATTGTGTAGCTTGGGGTCGGTCTGCTAAATGTTTCCGAGTCACTTTTCGTTTCTTACGAACCTCTGATTGACTTACAGATGCTGAAGTACTCGTAGATGGATATATCTGGTCACAAATCTGATTTTTATTTTGTTCATCTAAGGTCTGAACTAAGGGACTCAAGGTACGAACTGCTATAGGTTCATTCCCCATGTTATCTCTTTCATCATCTGTCAAGCCCTCTAATTCAGAGTCGTTACCATCATTTAGTAGCTGAAGTACCAAGTCTGACGTTAGTTCTAGCCCTAAAAAATATAAACAATGCAAAGTATCTTTTTTATAATTGAAATCTACATAAAATGTAACTTCGAGATAATTGTAGGTACAAGTCAAAAAGTTGAATAGCGGACGCAATGTCACGATCGTGCGCTTATGATCTCAAACTAACGTAATTCACAGTATTTAGAGAATTATTCCGGAATAAATACTTTAACATAAAGTACATTATATTAGCAGTAAAATAATCCTAAAACAATGAAGGAAATAGTGTTTTAAGTAATAATAGTTATTTATTATACAAGAGTGGAAAGTTCCTTTTTAACCGCGTGCTCGATTTGGATGACCGAGCAAGCGAAGGATTCTAAAGTTGAATCACGAGCGCAGCGAGTGATTCTAAATTAGAATCCTGAGCGTCAGCGAGGGAAACAAACGAGCACAAGGTGAAAAATCTTTCCACTCGAGTGCAATACGTAACTTTTCATCCCACCTCAGCGAGGAAATGACAAAATGAAAAAGAAAACAATTTATAATGACAAAATATTTAAGCAATAAAACGTGAAAAACTAGAATGGCGCGAAGCACGCAAATAAAACAAAGAAACCAAGAAGGTTCCAAATTTTAATTTTTTCACAATTTAAAAAGTTCTAATCATAAATTTGGCACCATAGAGGTTACATTAAATAGGTTTAATGACGTTTTGAATTTACAATTATATTGAGTACTCATTATATGTGATGTTCTAAATTCAAATCTACTTTGCCGCTCAAGCGAATAAAATAGAATTTTCCAGCCAGATTTCGAAGCGCAAAATTACACTTTCCGAGGTGGTGGGATGAAAAATGAATTACTTACTTCGGCCACGGCGATCCAACAGGTGAGCCGCCATCTTTGAAGAGGCACCAGTCAGCCACTACTTCACGAAAGCTAAAAATCGCGCCTAAATTCAAATTCATAGGTACCGCACGATCATGTGATGCCGTCTTCGTACGAAAAAGTTGATTTGGCGCGACGCTAGATTTTTTTAAAGTTGAACGCACGATTGTTTCAAAGGGTCACGAAAGGGATATAGCAGCATAATTATAATCCAAACCGAAAAAGTAAACAATCTCACTCAATCTTTTCCATTAGAAAGGCATTTGGAATTTGTACTTAACATTATATGACTTTTAAGATTTACAAGGCTATTAAAAGACCTGTCAGAATATGTTTTGTGAAACCTGGAATCCTTACTTATTGAGCAGCCAGCAGCGAAACTGTACACGTGACGTCACTCACCAATGCCTGATCATCTCCCTGATCTACCTTATTAATCTCGTCACGATCGATCTGCGCAGCGTTGAGGTTCTCCACGGCCCTGGAGTCGGGGTCTGCTATTAGCGCGGTCTCTAGTGTACGCGTGACATCACTCACCAATGCCTTATGATCTCGTCGCGATCTACGCAGCGTTGTACTTGATGATCTTGGTGACGGCGGAGATGGCGTTCTCAGTGGCGTTGAGGTTCTCCACAGACCTGGAGTCTGGGTCCGCTATAAGCGCGGTCATTAATGACGTCACTCACCAATGCCTTATGATCTCGTCGCGGTCGATCTGCGCAGCGTTGTACTTGATGATCTTGGTAACAGCAGAGATAGCGTTCTCGGTGGCGTTAAGGTTTTCGACGGCCCTGGAGTCGGGGTCTGCTATAAGAGCGGCCAGTAACGGCACGGCGCGGGCACACGCGGCCGCGAACTGAGTGCCTCCGAACTGAGCTAGAACGCCGCACCCGTACGCGGCCGCCTGCCGCACTTCGGCCTCCGGGCTCTGGAGGCCGGCGAGCATTGGCTCGAGGAATATGTCTTGGTATTTAACGCACGCGGGACCTGAGAATGATACAACATATAAGATTGTATTTAAAATAAAAATAAAAAAACATCTTTAGAAATCCGCCATATTGGATGTCACTTTATTTTTCTACAAAAGTCCCACTGGCGGTCAGTGAAGGTTCGTGAAGGCGCTAGTAATTGCACTAGGGTGGTAACAGTGTATCGAGGTGAGGACAAGTTCTACGATCCTACTAATATTATAAATGCAGAAGTTTGTTTGCAAAAAGTTTGAAGTACACAGACATTACTATTGCTTGGCGAATGTATTAATATAATTACCTCCAAACTCGATGACGTCGTCAAAAATACATATGGCCCACTGGCGGTCGGCGTAGGGTCGCGAAGGCGCTAGTAATTGCACCAGGTGCGGTAACAAAGTATCCAAGTGTGGGAAGAAAGCCTCGCGGTACGCGGACATTAGTGCGTGCAATACGTCCGCTACGCGAGAAAGACCGTAAATGTCCTCATTGTCTTCGTCGGCTAGCTGCTCTTCTACCACCTGATAGAAATTAAGTTATATTAATTCGATGACCTCCGTGGCCGACTGGTTTGTACGCCGGGTTTCATAGAGACGCAGACTCGAGAGGTCCCGGGTTCGAATACCGGTGGGGGCAGATTTTTGTGTGATGAACATGAGATGATACTTGGGTTGCAGTAAATAAACGATAAAGGACGACTCTGTAACTCAATGTTCATTTGGCACCTGCTTTATGTAGGTAATACGGTTGAAGTCGTAAAGATAGGCTTCTCTATCAATATAATAGGGTATTTCACTCTACTGGCTACTCTCTAAAAATACATAAATGTAATATTGCGATAGTTTAGCCTAAAAAGCGTCGGAAAATGTTAGTTTCAGTTCATAAAATAACAAAATGCATTTTAAAATTCAATTCTAAGTTTTCAGTTTTTTATCTGTTTTAAATTTAAAACACGATGAAATAGTAGATGTAGTAGCCGCCATATTATTATGTCACACTGCTAGTATATGCCATATGTCAGCTGCAAAGACTTTATATAATACCTAGACTGTGCACGAAAAAAAATAGTTAATCTAAAGTAAGATTTATATCTGTAGTAATAGGATAGCTATTATCTTGATAAGCGGTCGCTAGTAAAAACGGTCCTGAGTGAGAAAGCACCCAACGGTAGTGTGTCCCTTTCTAACGTCTTGCCAGCTCAATTTATCATTGGGTTTGGTAGAAATGGTAGAAAATGTCATCCTTTTCTATTTGTGATTTACTGATTAATTACCGATACGAACGATTGGTAAACTATGAAACGTATTTAAACATTTCTACAGTTCCTATAAATAATAAAATAATCATTGATATTTTTAAAATAAATCTAAATACAGAGTAAAAGTAGTATTTAATTAGTTGAGCCTGGTAATACTGAATGTAAGATGGTGATTTGTTCACTTGATAACAATGACAATGATGACACTTGATGACAATTTGATTTGAAATATTGTAAATTTGCTTAATAAAGTGTATTTTTTTAAAATGATGAACTCGTGTTATGTAACAGGGTTTTTCTTTTCACGGGTAAGTAAAACTTACAATCATATTCATTAGGTGAACCTTGAATTTTGGAGGTAGATAAGATTTTTTTTCTTAACATGAGAGTGATAACATTTAATGAATCAATTATTAAATAATGCGGTCGCGGTTACTTCCTTGTTTCGTAGGTACTTTTTAGAGCGTTTTTAGATTCGTATCATCATCATCAGCCTATTAATGTCCCCACTGCTGGGGCACAGGCCTTCCCTATGGATGGAATAGGGAGATTGGGCCATGTCCCACCAGGCGGGCCCATTGCGGATTGGCGGGTGCTAACGACTGCAGATGCAGCCGGGACCAACGGCTTAACGTGCCTTCCGAAACACGGAGGAACTCGAGATAGATGTTTTTGGTCACCCATCTAATGACCGACCACTGCGAAAGTTGCTTAACTTCAACCATCCCAGCCGAACGCGCTAACCACCTGCGCCATCGAGCTCCTCACAAAAATAGTAAAAAAGAAAAAAAAAAATTTTCTTGTATTGTGTAGATTTCCGAAGAACGAAAAGCAGAAATTGATGTGGGAAAATGCAGTGCCTGGAAAAATTTCTAAGTCGTCAGTTGCTTGCAGTGCGCATTTTAAATATGAATAAGACATTTAAATAAGACTTAGAAGCTACGGGAAGTCCTTAACCCTTGAGCACGTAGGACATAAGGCTACATTGCAACAAAAACTGCGCAAAATTATATTATTTAGCAATGTATAAAAACCAATTTTAATAAAAATATTGTAAACAAATGATTGTCTTTTTTCCATCCAGAATTTGATGAATTTGATTTGGCATTGACCGATTTATCTACCTCACAATATGTGGGTCCCCCTTACCTGAATAAACATACTTTTAAGAGTACTTTCCCTTCAGGTGGCTGGCATTACAAAATTCCACCCTCTTTATCTAATCTCAGTCCAAGCCAAGCTACGCGTGCTAGTTTAAATACCGAATGAAACAGTTCATAGTACCTATGTATTATTATTTTTAAAACCTACATAACTTCGTTTGGTCTGCGTTTAGAGGTATATGCATAGATGAGGTTTTTCATATTAATTAACACTACATAGTCTAAATTACGTAAAATAATAAGTTTTTGTCGATGTAACAATTTATGTTAAATTAATGGTAAGCCTGATGATACATTATTGTTTCTTAGGTTTTCACGCACATCACTCATTAAATAAAACTAGTTTTTCACGGGTTAATGCACGAAACTTTATTTATTTATTGACGTTTCGCAGCCTTTACAGGCCGCGTCGTCGGAATTTGTCATCATACAAAGACTTAGTGAATTTTTTTATTACACTAAGTCCTTGTATGATGCACTTAGCAAGTTAAAAAATACGCCATGTAGTTTTTATTTTAACTCATAATCACAAATTACTTACATGTTTAGACAGTAGCAGATACTAAACACAGTCCTCTTTACAAGCTATATTAAATAACAAATACTAATAACAAATTTTGTCCCGCGTTACGCTTGAATATGGTCACTTCATTAGAAAGGAACACACTACCATTGGAAGCCCTCTCGCCCGGACCGTTTTCAACGCGATGGTGCACAGTCTAGGTATTATATAAAGTCTTTGGTCAGCTGCAACTCAGTACTTTTAATGATTTCGTAACCAAGGTAACATTTATTAACTGTACTAATGACGTAAAGACCACAAAGCAATATGGCGTCCACTGCGAACAGCGTTATCGTTTAACTACGCGCGAAATTCGAAAATGTTAAAGAAGGATGGCCAAATCGTACCTGATGACGTCTCAATATGCCATACATATCAAAAAATCCCTTATTATTAAAGGTTTTAGAAAATATAAGCAAAATATCCATATTCTCCCACATTAAAAAGATATACCTTTTTTTTATGTTTTGGTTATATATTTAAAATTATTTGGAATAACATGTTCAGAACACACCCATTGACGATTAATTTCGCACATGAAATGATTTAATATTCATAGACTATGTATAATTATTTCTTTTTCTAAATACTTGTTAACCGTTATTCAATTAATAGTTAGGCATCTGATCAACTAGTGTTATTAGGTATTTAAAGAACTTTTATCATAAAAGTAATTAAGTAAGTACAAATTGAGTATGAGCTTTTTGTTTAATTGCTCGGTTTATGCATATAACGGAACTTTATATGTCATCGATCGGCGCCATCGATTGACTGACACACAGTGACAGTGATCATTCTGTGCTAACGCTTTCGCTAAGATTGTTGTTATGAATTTTCGTGATTGTACTATTTTGGATTACCTTCTGTTCTTTTCACCTTGGCATTGATTTACGGACTGATAACTAAACAATATTTTTGCCAAGACTTATCTTTCATTTATCCCCATACCCCCTTATGATGGGTACTATTATTACTTTGACTCGATTAGTCAGTGAGTGAAAGATAGCAGGTATCTAGTCTCGTCTAACGACTTACTCTTTAGCCGGCACAGCCAGAAAAATGCCCCAAAATAGGACTGAACTAAAAACCACTTTTTAGTTCAGTCCTATTTGTTTTCTATGAGGCATCGAATAAAATAGCTATGAGATCGCCAATTACCCTCTTTGCTTTTCGCTACTACTTTTTGGGCTTCGCCGCAGTCGGGTAAAAGGTACTTGTTGATTCTAACCTCAAAAGTATTAGTGGCTATATTTTATAAAATCGTGGCTATTTATATAAGATTTTCAAACGGGATAGTATTTACAACATAAAAACAAACCTTTCTCAAGTTTCTCACTATAGTTTATTAAGGGACATCAAAAATAAAAGTCAAGTCCAGCTCATATAGAAATCTGGCCATTGTTCTTTAAATGCATTTTTAAGGCACTTAATGGTTGAAAAAATTTTTGTGGTAGTAGCTCTTTAAAATTTAATTGAGACACTTTTCAAAAATTGTTGTTATACATATTGATTTAAGTTCCCATTATATGATATATAAAAAAAGGAAGAAACAAGAATAAATAATTCTTGGAAGATATTGGTCACTCAATGAAAAATCCTCAGTTCTCAGTGACGGGTAAAAAGAAATTATTTAATACTAGTGTATTACCATGCATGAGCACACTCGTTTTTTTTTATTTTATTTATTTATTATTATATAAAACTAAATGTTACTCACTTCATCGTAATCCTCGTCGGCCCGTTTCTGCCTGCGCTCGGTGGCGCGCTCGAAATGTTCAGTCAGCAGTTTGTTCAGGAGGCGCAGTACTTCAGCCATCATTTCGTCGGAGAGGCAACCGGTGCCCAATAGCTCGATACACTGCATTCATAATCAATTCTATTAATCTCATAGTAGAAACAATTATGTGAATGATTTATCAGGTAAGTTAAAAACTACTGGTTAAAATAAATGGTGATTTCTCTTTGAAGCATTTTGTATTTAGAATCTTTATCTTGACAGCTCTTATCGCGTTTCTCTTGACCGTTGAAATGGCGCAATGTATATGAGAGAGTAATGGTCGAAAAAGACTTTTGAAACGGGACGCCACTTGTCGCATGTTTAGTCAAATCAAATGTACTATTTTCTATGATCAGAATATATAATGTAATGTATGTAATCTAGCGATGTAATGCCACACACACTGATCATATATAATACGCGTCGCGTTTCAGACACCTGTTTCGGCCTAAAATTACAGAATTAATTACGCATCGCCTTATCCCAAAACGTGGAATAAAGTTAGACTTTGTTTAAAACTAATAAGTACTAGTGTAGCTTCTGGCATGATTCTCTAATCCTAAAGTTAAATTTGACAAGTGTATCCTTCTTTTTCTCTATACAGAATGAGAATGAGACTGATGACAAAATTAATTTTAAGTTTAGAGAATCATGGAAGAATCGATCCCACTAATATTTTCTCTTTGGCAAACAAACGAGACAGTGTCATCTTAAGACAGGGTTTAACTTTATGTTATGTGGGTATAGTATAGTCTAAGTATTAACCTTGGCGAGGCTGTTCAGGAGCTCGACTTGGACCTCTTGCTCGGGCTCGGAATCGATAGCTTTCAGCAATTCAGGCAGAATGTACGCCCACATTCCTTGTATATACTGAGGGCCGCGAATACGCGCGCATTCCAATAGGTACGGCAAAGATTCGGCGGCCGCAGTACGAACGTTGTCGTGGAAGTAGAACTTGAGTAAAGGCACCATTAGCTTTACTACGTCTTCTGCATATTCGGCGAAGGCTTCTTTCAGTTCGCGCGCGTAGCATACTAGCATATCGCACGCGGAGGCTTTGTCTTCGAGACCTAGTGTCAAGGAAAAAATAATAGTAAAATTATTTTTGGCTTTTAATAATATTTGTGTAAGCAAGTGATGGACATTTTAACTGCTAATTCAGTTGTTTATAAAATATTGTAGAGATAATCAAACTCCAGAAAAAGCAACGCCTGTTACAGCTTTGTAGCCTTAATATTTTTATTGCTTTGATACAATAAAGATTTTTTTTATAATTTTGCTGATTAAATACTTGAAATGAAATTCAATAAGGCACGTTAAGCTGTTGGCCGGCTTCATTTGCAGTCGTTAGCACCCGCCAATCCGCACTAGGCCCTCGTGGAGGGTCATGGCCCAATCTTCCTATTCCATCCATAGGGAAGGCCTGTGCTACAGCAATGGGGACATTATTAGGCTGAAGATGATGAAGCCTTACCAGCAGTCTTGATGCCGAAGTTCTGTTGTTCCCCGAGGGTGACGAAATGCCAGTCCAGGTCGCCCTCGATAGATTCAAGGTCCTCGTTATCGAGCAACGCCACCTCGGGTTTCATTGCGGCCGTTCGCATTACTGGCTCCATCACCATTGGCAGGTACTGGGCGAAACTCTTGCCTGAAAATAAAAGGAGTGATTGGTGAAAGTAATTTTAAAATACCTTAAAATTAGTGTCCGACCGAAATTTCGGTTTCGGTTTTATAATATATTTAATTTTAAAGGTGTAAGTGCCAAGGTTAAGTACCTGCTTCATTAAAGTTTAAAATTCATCTTAGTTGCGTGTACTATTTATGTAATAACGATTGTAGGTACCTGCCTATGCAATAAAATGAAAGGTGAATAGTTATTAATTTAAATTTAATATAGACGTGTAATGTTAATGCAATGTTGAGAGTAATGTAATGGTGTGAGTAGGTATTATGACGGATCTAGTACCCATTGGACCCTCAAGATTCGACCCAAAAGCAAAAAGTGCCCATTGGACCTCTTTTTTGGTGTCCATTGGACCTTCTTAAAACATTTTATATTCAATGTGCCCATTGGACCTCCTTAAAAAAATTATATTCAATGTGCCCATTGGACCTCTTTTTAAGTGCCCATTGGACCTTCAAGATTATACCCTACTGCCAGTTGGACCTTATTGACAGTTTTGTTAAGCACAGTACAGTCATGTAGAAAATTGCAGACAAAAATAAAATTAATAGTAGGTATTATAAAGCCACTAACTAAATACTGTGTAAGTACTTACTCCAAACAGTAAGTACTCCTAAACAAATTATAAAGAAATCAGGTTACCTTTTTTCTTCGAATTAACGATATTTCGCCGTCCCCGGGGAATAAAAAGATAACTACAAAAATGTAAGTTTTCAGGAAAAATAAAAAAAAATGTTTTTTGTTTATTGCTCTATATAGGGTGAAATTGAATGTTTTAATGAAACTTCGTGAGATTGTTGGGTTACGAGTATAGAGTATGCCTGATTTTTTTCGGATTTTTTTGATGTATTTTTTTTCATGTATTTATTTATAATTTGTGTATTTTTTTGTCCTTTCCTCCTTTTGAGTAGTTATTCATATGAAACAAACATGCTTACATATCCAGTGAAAAACAACTAATAAATAAGCACTTCTAAAAAACGGAAAAACAGTAAAATTCCACTGCGGGTCAACGACCGACCGCGCCCGCCAGCCGTTCAGTGAGTAGGTACGTACACAGAGCTCAGCTGACTCGTTTGATTCCACACAATACAATAAAATCGTCTTAGATGCCTTTATTGAAATTGAAATAATAAGCACAAATGTCATCTTCTCTTAAGCAGAGAAAAACTTAAAAAGTTAATAATAATTTTGTCACGATTGGAAATAGGCAAAAGTTAAACAAAAAGAAATACTTATTGCAGTTCAATACTTGGGTCAGAATGAAATTTATTACCAGGTATTCAAAAGTACTTACGAGACCGATGTACCTATTAATTTTTTTCTCTATAACTTCCCAATAAATCACCAAACCTACTTTCGTAAAGCCTTGTGGCTCTGCTGAGTATTCCGTGACACTCGCAATAACAACACACCATATCCAAATTCTTATATTGAGGGCACAGAACAAGAACTAATCAAGGCATTATTTGCAAATCTTGTCTTGTCACAAATTTAAAAGATACGCACGCGCGCTTGAGACTCCGCTCGCTCACTGCGCTGTGCACCGCGCATACCTAAATAGGTAGGCAGGCAGGTATTCAACGGCGGGAGCGGTCATTGCTCCCGGCCGCCCGTCTCCTGTTTTTACGTCTTTTTTAGTAGTGCTTATTACTTGTTTTTTACGTACTCTGTATGCATGTTTTAAAAGAATAATTATTTAGTACCCAAAAGGAGGAAAGGACTTAAAATATAACAAAAAAAAACAAAATTTTATTTTAAATCATTTTTTAAAAAATCCGAAAAAAATCAGAGATACTCTATATACGTAACCCAACATTCCCACGAAGTTTCATTAAAACATTCAATTTCAACCTGTATATACTGGACGCAGACAGATGATAGTAACCTTTATCAAAAGCTAATTTTTAACACATTTGGATTTTTTGGTAAGATATTCGTACAATAAGATATACGGGAGATATTTAGAAAATAAAAAGTGAATCAATTAAAATTTAATTTGTATAATGTTTATTTTTATTTTATTCGTATTGACAAGGAGCCAAATCCAAATATTGCACTACTGACATGTATTTTTATTCTATGGGTTAAAATGGTGCCAGTGACAATGATAATACTTCAATATCTTTTTATTTTACATTTGACATTATATATGTTTGTGCCTTAGGTTTAAAGGAATGATCATTAACAACATTAATTTTAAATTTAATTACATTAATGATCATTAATGTAAAAAGGTTTCACTCAATAGGGCGATCGTACACTGACCAATGAATACCCTTACAGCGCAACACCAAATCCACAAGACCTTTCAATTTTCAAAATTCAAAGTTCCTTAAAACAGCTTAGATCTAGACAATCTAAGGGGTCATCCATAAACTACGTCACACGAATTTCATGATTTTTTGCCCCTCCCCCCGTTGCCGATGCTTGGCAAAAAAAAATAGATGAATAAACTTGCCATTTGCAAATCAATTATTTATTAATTATTATAGATTTATGTTATTTTAATATAAAAAACCGGAATAAAATAAAATTCTAGTTTTTTAAAGCCGAAAGACCCACTACCAACCTCCATAAAAAATTTAACAGTCTTCTTTTGTAAAACATTATAAATTACCAAATTAAATATTTAAGACACATATCTGAGTAATTTTTCTAAGCAATGGCCTACGGTTGTAAGATTATTTTCTAGCTGCAACATAGGTTATAAATCTGAACGAGACAGCAATATTTCTCTCTCTCCCACATATGAGATCGGCGCCATCCTTTTGTTTAAGCACAGAGATTGCTTGGGCTTGGAATCTATGTATAACCTTCCTTTCATCAGGTGCTTAAGAGGAGTATAACTGCCGATAAAAACACTCAATCTCCCTCAGAATTTCAGTCTTAGATCAAAAGATGATGTCTTTGCAAAATCCACCGTCATGTTGCTTAGGGGCCATCCATAAATTACGTCACACGTTAAGGGGGAGGGAGGGGATCGACGAAGTGTGACATCGTGTGACAAGGGGCTGAGGGGTCCTAAATTTCGTGACGTCACAATTCAAAATCTATTATAATCGAAGTGTTGAAACTATTACTTTACGAAAACATTAACAACCCAAATGAGAACAAAGTGGTGCTATGCCAGTTATAAATAATTTAAAGGAGCGGGTTCAATGTCTATGGACTCAAGATTATTAAGTTTGTATCTTTAATGTAATCATAATGCTATTCATATTTATTTTGTTAAATTGTTGGATTAGATGTTAATATTATTAAAAAACAAATTTGAATGAAAATGAAACTAATTTCAGATCCGCTGTTAATAATTCAATAATTTCTAAATTTTGTAAAATATGTGACGTCACACTAGGGAGGGGGGGGGGGGAGTCTCATAAATGTGACCAGCTGTGACAAGGACGGGGGGAGGGGCAAAAAAAATTCGTGTGACGTAGTTTATGGATGACCCCTAAACTGTGTAACAGGTTGTTTTCACTCGGTAGCCATGAGCTTAAAAAACAAACCTTGCATGATCTAAAACAACATTTATCAAAACAGCACGAAGCCGAGCATAGGCAGGTTTTAAAACGACAGTCCGAATTGAACAAAGTAAAAAACGAAGCCAAATTAAAGAAACAAGAACAAAAAATTCTACAGGCATATGCATCAACCACTACTTGTGGTAATCAAAACCTTGTTCAAAGCACAATTCCAGGTTTAATTTCTAGACCTAAAAAAAAGGTTCGCTAAAATAATTACCAAAGGTGATCAATTTGATTATCTAATTATATTTGTATTAGCCATTCGAGGCTAACGGATTGTGATATTTGTAAATATAATTAAAATGTAAGTAACTGAAAATAAATAAACATAATATATATGAGTATCATATTTTAATAATAAATTTGTTTTATTTTATACCACCATTAAAAAATCGCTAACTTTGTGTTACAAATAATGTATTTTTTTCACTTTATAGGATAGTTAAATTTTCAAAGAGAACCTCTGTAACTGTGCTGAAATTTCATTGTGATAAATCTTTGAAAGTAGAAACCTGTAATTATAGGTCGGCGAGATATTAATTTAAAAAAAAAACGGGCTTACTAACATTTTTTCGACTTTTTTTTTATAAAAGGTTCGGTTTCGGCCGAAACTACAATGAAACCGAACCTTCGGTTTCGGCAAAATAACATGTTTCGGTCGGTCACTACTTAAAATAAATAAATAAATATTTCCAACACTCACACCAATCAGGTTAGCCCCAAAGTAAGCACTGTAAGGCTTGTGTTATGCGATTCTAGGGTAGCGGATTGAATACATTTATATAGAAATACATATTAAATATCCATGACTGAAGTACAAATTCTCGTATTCATCACACAAACATCCGCCCCCACCGGGATTCGAACCGGGACCTCTCGAGTCGGCGACACCATTTAACCCGGCGTACAAACCACTCGGCCACGGAGGTCGTCTGGAGGCTTGAAAAGAACTTCTTTCTACAGATTGTTGTTGAAAAGACTTTTTTATGTGCTTTAGCCCGTGCCCCTGCCGTGGGGACATAGGCTGACGATGTCTTAGTACTACGGCGGTCTGTTTCCGAAACTCTACACCTAGTGCCTATTTTGCGTGGGGATTGGCATTAGTCCTGCCATCCCAGCTCCTCCAGAAATATCAGCAGTCCCCGGATGTAGCTGCAGACTTCTACTAGTGTCCGTGGGCTTCCCATTAGAGAAGTCAAAGGACTTCTATAATGGGAAGCCCACGGACGTTCACGACGCCCACGTTTCAAGACAAAGGTCTTGAAACGCCCCTGCACTCCAGCAGAACATGGGCGCTCGTCTCCTACTCCTCCAGGCAGGCTCTGCACAGAGGGCTGTCATAGGTGCCGATGCTAATGATATATTAGCTTTACCCATGATCCTGCAGATGCGCGACCACGCGGATATGAGGTAGGAGGTCTGCGGATCGTCGGCGGGCAGCTGTTCGCCCTCCGTGTGAGTCTTCAACAGCAGATCCATTACTTCGGACGCGTCAGACATGAACTTTTCTTCGCCCACCGCAAGCCCTGAAAGAAAAAACGTATTATGATTGAAGCAATTAGCAGGATTGCTAACTTAAAATCTTGTATTTTGCGAGTCCCAGATATTTTTTGCTCTGTTGCAAGTTCCACGAAACTGCTCATGACAATTAAATTACTATGAGTACTAGTTCGTAACCATGAGTTTGAAACAGTATACATATTTTATGAGTCTGTTACAAAGGCTATAAACCTGATCATAGGGGCAAACAAATTACAATAATGTTAGGGACCATGAAAGTTTAAAACATTATCTGACATGAATTCCCAATGGCATATTTTGTATACTTGAATAGTTTTTCACAGGCTTGTATTTTAATTAATAATTTCTTGCTCATTACATATTTTTTTTTGGAAATATAATGTAATGAGCAGAATTTTAGTCTACGCTTGTTTTTTTTATTTTGCAGTGCATAACATTGAAATACTAACCAATAAGGCTGACGCATTCGATGGTCTTTCCACGTAGCATCTTCAACTCATCTGTGTTGGCATTGGCAATAATATACTTAAGGCAGGGCATGAGCCTGTCGTAATATATCACAAAGTCTTTTTCCACTGTGTCGGCTACCGAAGCGATGGTGGTGACGATCTGTTCAAGTACAAGCTTCGTACCGCGCTCAACCAACTGTACAAAGATTATTTATTTATTTTATTACAGAATTAAAGTATAAAATCCACAATGTGTCCAAAACTCTGTAGTTTTGTAGTACCATAAGCTTATGTTCTAAAAGTTTTATGCTGTTATAAAACTTGTACAACATAATCTTATGGTCATTGCCAAACCAATATTTGCTATGGATTTAAAATTTTACCATTTTCATCATTATGACCAGAATTCTAATCAAATTTTCGAATACAAAGACTGCTATGCGAAATAACAGTGAAGTAATATGCTATGTGCATCACCCTGAATAGTGTAAAAAATAACTTTTTTGCACATAGCAGATATTCATTTGACAATGACCATATTTAAGATTTATGTCAAGAGGTATTTGCTGAAATACTCAAATTATAAGCATACAGTCTATTAAATGTTAAACATGTATGTGAACTGAGATCCCTGACATTCTATCATAAGAAAGAAAGGGAGCAATTGTCACATTTGATTTACCAATGTTATGGAAGTGATGCAACCAAGAATTTTGTTATATCACTAACGAACATTGGACATTAATATTGCATTTATAATGAGATGTTAAGACTTACCTCTTTGAATTTGGCAGTCAGAATGACTTCCAGTTTGTTCATCAATGGGTCAAGATATTGGGTCAATATTGGTTTTGGACAATCTTCACTGAAGTTAACCAAAGCGGCAGCCGCATGTGCCTACAACAAATTGTAAGCTGTGTCAAGACTATGAATCATTTAAAGAACAGTTAATTTAAGTTGGCAAATAACTTGAATATACTATTTAACTACAGGAGTAGTAAACACTGTCAATATGTAGGTATTTAAAAAGAAATTCTGTATATTGGGCTATCAACCTGCACACGCGGGTTAGCGTTGTCATCGAGTACCATGAGAAGACCAGGCACAACTTTGTCATGGAATTTCTTCTCAAACACAGGAGCAAAATCTGTAGACATTTGACCGACGGCGTTGCACGCGGCATAACGCACTCGTGGATGCTAAAACAATATACAAAATATTTTATATAAAAACAAATCTTAATCTTTAACAAGTATGTTTATGTTGAATAAACATGTTGAATGTTAAACTACATAAGTATATACACATAAAAAGAGTCTAAGCAATGAGCATCACTCAAGCATACTGCAAGTTTTATCAGTTGATGTTTTATATAATGGTTATGCAATATGCAATTTATTCAAAGGTGTTTTTGCGACTAAATAGACTGATGTTAAATTTTGTTTAAAGTTTAGAGAATCATGCCAGAATCAACATGACTGTCTCAATTTGATATATTTAGTGACTAAATCAAAAACACAGCATACAGTCCAGTAAATGTTTAACATGTATATGAACTGAGATCCCTGACATTCTATAATAAGAGAGAAAGGGAGCAATTGTCACATTTGATTTTCCAATGTTATGGAAGCGATGTAACCAAGATTTTTGTTATATCACTAACGAACATTGGACATTATTACATTTATAATGAATGAGATTTTAGGACTTACCTCTGATTTTAAACAAGTTTTTATCAGATGTTTAATATTGTTGCAACAAAATTTATTCAAAGGTGTTTTTTTGCTTTAATCAATAATAAACGAAATTAATTATTATCAACACAATATTAAAAGTATTAAAAATAGGTCAAAGGTTCAAAAAAGCTCAAGTTGCTTAGACTCTTTTGATGAGTATATTTTGAAACTACAAACTGAACTTCAAAGGAGAATTAACTCACGGGATCCGTAAGGTAGTTGAGCACAGCAGAAACTACTTGATCAAGCATTTGCTCCATCTGCTTGTGGCATCCTTCTCCAGCAGAAGAAACGGCCATCAAGGCCGCATGTCGTCGCCGCCAGTCTTCGGAATTTAACATTTCCGGCACTTGCCCCACGATCAAACCCAGCATTATTTTACCACCCAAACCACAACACATGCGGTCCAAAGCAGACTCTGCAGCGACGTAATTGCTGTAAAAACGTATGCCTATTATAGGAATATATTCATAGTACCGCGCTTTTGTCCTGCGATCGTGGAAGTACAGAAACTTTCGCAATGGTGGGTCATTGGATGGGTGACCAAAAACTTATTATCTCAAGCCTCTGTGTCTTCATCATCTCCATCCACACATATTATGGTGGGTCATGGCTAAATTTCACTATTTCATTAATAGGGAGGAGGCCTGTATCCCAGCAGTGGCGACTTTAATAGGCTGATGGTGATGATGATTCATGGAAAGTCACTCATATTGTTTCTCTATAAACTGTTTTCGAGGGACTGACATCAGTACACATAATGAGCATGATGTTAATTAACTCGTAACTTTGATCTTGTAAGATTCTATAGAACCATCGCTAATTAAACGAGGTTATGAAAAAGAATCTTACATAAAATATAATTATAGAAATGAAAGAAATTTGGCCATTATTTGTTATATGACTAATAAAATATGTTTGTTTAACCAAGAACTTCCTGAAATTATCTTTTGAGATAAGTCTTTATCAGTATCTTTCAGATTTACGTAATTACACATGTATATACAAAGAGGAGCTTGAGCAACTGGCACGTGGTTAGCGCGTTCGGCCTGCGATTGAGGAAGTTAAGCATCCATCCATAGGGAAGACCTGTGTGTGCCCCAGTAGTAGCCATTAATAGCTTGATGATGATAAAACAAAGCTTAACCCTAACCCAAAGAAAACACATTAATTGTAGAGCGCGCAGAACTAGTTGACCGCGCCCTACGTATGTGAGCGGTGGGACATAGAGGCGGGGGCGCTTGCTGTCATTACTCATTTCGGCGCCGTATTTCGCGACGGCAACACGCATTGAAAATTCTGGCTACTTCAAACTAAACGCACATGAGATTGCAATAGCGAGATGAGTCCGCCGACAAAAAGACAATCTCAGGATAATAATATTTAAAGTGCCTACATTTTTAAAAAAAAGCGAACTATTTCAGTTACGAAAAATCCCGCGTTACAATGACAACTTGATACAAAAACGATGTCGGTAAAACAACACCACACTACGCGCCTATATGGCTATCTGTGATTTTCAACTGGAACTATTACGGTCACCCATGAGTATGATGGGGCGGCAAGTTCAATATTTTTTTCTGATTTGGGACAAAGTTACCCGCCCCAGCTAAAGTATCCCTCACTTACAGTACTTAATTTGTTTTTGGTTTATTTTATTATTAACTAGTGGCCCGCCCTCGCTTCGCTTCGGTGTAGAGCTGAAGTGTACACAAAAATTATCCTTATAGCATGATTCAGTATTCACGTGCGACGGCGCAATGGCTTATTTCATGTATAAGTTTGGTGTTTCTATACCGATTTCTATGATTCTTTTTTTATTGAATAGGTAATAATGTTAACTTTTTTAAATTAGGGATGAGTGAGAGTATTATAAACGTAAGAGTAAACAAATATAATCAGAATGCTCCGAACTGCTAAGCTATCAGGAGTTACACGTGTTATTGTGAGTCAACCATAAAAGATAGACATATGCTGTTGCAGGATATTTTTTTAGACAATTTAATGTAGAATATTTTCGTCATACATATTTCTATGTAACTTTAACCATTAAGGCTGCACACGCAACGGAAGCTAAAAAAATGGAGTAACTTCTCCCGTTTTCCCAACATTTCCCTTCACTTCTCTGCTCCTATTGACTGTAGCGTGATGAAAAGTATACTATAACCTGCCCAGGAGTATAAAGAATAATTGTACCAAGTTTCGTTAAAATCCGTCTAGTAGTTTTTGTTTCTATAAGGAACATACACACAGACAGACAGACAGACAAAATTTTTATTGATTGCATTTTTGGCATCAGTATCGATCACTAATCACCCCCTGATAGTTATTTTGAAAATATATTTCAGTACAGAATTGACCTCTCTACAGATTTATTATAAGTATAGATTACAATATAATTAGATAGGTCCCATAAAAACTTCTAAAATTTAAATAGGTTTTTATTTATTCTTGTCAAATAAATGAACAATTATTATTCACGATACCTCGAGATTGGTTATCATTGTCTAATCTCATGTGCGTTGCGAGCGGTAGGCAACCCGCCCCCTCACCCCTATTGCCACCTAAGGCGCGGCCAACTTGTTCCGCGCGCACTACAGCTAGGAAGATGAGATAGTTATAAAGTCACTAACTTCTCGTTATCGTCGTCAGCAACGTCGTCTTGCACCGCCCAGTCAGGCTCGTCGTCGAGCTCGCACATCATCTCGAGAACCAGTGGCGTCAGCAGACGGACGGCGTTGGGCACTTGTTTGCGCACCATCGCTGGCGCCGTTTCGCATAGAGTTACCATAGCCTCCAAAGCTAATTGTCGCCAGTTGTCTTCGCCATCAGTCTGACCGACTACCTGCATTTCCATATTAAAACTAGCTGATCGAATAAACTTTGCACAGCCATAAAAATAAGGGTTGGTAGTAGGGTGAAAATTTAGCTTAGTATGTATTTTTAATGCTGAATTTAAAAAAAACTGGGCTGGACCACCCTTATCATTTAGAGGTATGAAAATTACCTAGTGTCCTATTATCAGCCCTACTCAATAGGCGCGGGTATCACAGAAAGTACGTGAGACGCAGACGAGGCGCGGACATTGGCAATTTCATACAAACAAAATGTAAAAAACTAAAGAACCCTGTCTTTTCTATATATTTTGCGACACGACGCTTCTATACGTTTTGTATTCAATGGACGCAAAAGGGATATAATTATGTTCGCACCCTATCTGTCTTTTCTGTGTCCCGTGACTTAAACACACAAAATTTAAACCTAACAAAAAAAAAGAAACAAAATCTTAAAGAAAAGGACACCATTTCAAATTTCACATAATACCTTACCACTTACCTTTATGCAGACTTGAAATATTGTTTCCAACTGAGGCCTTAAAAATTTAGGTGCAGATTCAGCCAATTCAATGAGCACTTTCAGTGCAGAATCATCATCACATTTTTCAATGGACTGCACAACAACCTGTAATAACATAGGACATAATGAAATAGTTCTTTTTCAATACAGTAAAAGCTCCGTATTCGCGCTTCCTTTATTCGGGTTTTTACTATTTGCGAATTAAAATTTTTGATTTTACCGAACTATTCAATATATTCCCAGCAAAAAAAAAATCGCGGAGCTAACCGAAATAAAAAGGATTCGGTTTCCTTTGCTACCGCGTCGGCAGATGGAGTAATTATAAAAGTAAATAGATCATATTATAACTAAGCCTAAAGTATGTTTTTAAAATGCTATTAGGTATTATATTGCCGGTGCATAAGACAGTTTGGTCAGCATTTTTGAGAATATATTATTTTTATATAATAAAAATAATGTTTTTGTAAAACCATTTTATTATTCTATGCCTAAAGTATATTGTTAAATGCTATCACATGTGTATTAGATTCTTCTAGTAGTGGTTTTGAAAATCCATTATACTAACTGTGACAACATATAACTCTTAGCTTTCTCCATAAAAATGTGCTTTGTAAGTAACTTAATATAAATTTGTCTTGGCTCTAGTATTGATCATTGTCAATGAAGTCATTATTTGGGTATATGTGGTATATTATATATTCTCCTACAGGTGTTTTTATATGTAGAAACTTACTTTGTTAAGATAAAACGGTCACCTTACGAAGACGAGGGTACTGGTGCACTGAGATACAAGCTTTCGCTTAGTTCAGGTACCAGTCTCTCGCAATCTTACGAAATATACAAATATTGTTTAAATTATAAGATGTAACATGTAGATTGTTGGAGAAAAATTATTATTATTATTAGACATTCCGCCAAGTCCTTTCGTAAGATCTGCTTTGTGTGGTTTACTATGTTTCCCTTTTTCATACATGACAAAAATTGTGATTGAGTAACACGTCTCTTCTGCTTTGTTCCTAATTTATAATGTTGATTAAAAAGAAAGAAAAACTAGCCCAGACTAAAAAAAAAGAAGAGCGCCCCCGCGAATAAAGAGCTTTTACTGTAATAATAATAATTTATGGCAAATTAAAATGCAGTGATATACAAAATTCATATGTCTTGAGAGTTACTATCAAACTCCCTCCTATAAAAGGATGGTGTTAGCGAAATTCCCAATTTTATATTGCACATTCTGGCAGTAACACATTTCGTTGTGAATTGTGTACGTAAATGTTGTGCTATTATATATATGACTATATTATATTATATGACTCCAGTAAAAGTTAATCCATTTAAAAGTTAAAGAAATTAATTAATTTAAATACAGACCTGCATTAATGGAAGTAGTATGTCTCCAAAATGCTTCTGTATTGCTGGCTCCTTGTCATGGAGCAATATAAATGCACCAACTGCTTTAACAGCCTGAATTCTTAGGGCTTCAGATTCTGTAGGCTGGAGGGCTGAGAGGAGCATGCGCTTGATAACATCTAAGTTTTCATTTTGACGATTTCCAAATACTCCAGGTACAGATCTGGACAAAAAATTTATAGAATTGATTAACTAACCTTCCTCACTTTCAGGCGCTGTGGTCCAACTGATTAATTGCTATAAAAATTTAACAACCATATCACCAAATTTTAGTTTTATAACTATTATTCCCCTAGATAATATTGTTTGATTTCTACATGCCTCATTCATGAATCATTGCTAGACTATGCATTTTAGTTATTCTAAATTAAATTTGGTACCTATTCCTGTCAGAATTCCTGCCACATTTAAAATTATTATTCTTCTATGATATCACATTTAGTTCAAGCACAGTGGCTTAATTATGGAATATGATTCTTCAAAACACACAGTAGGATAATTAATAATTTTACTAAAACTTACAATGTAACCTGTTATATATTTTATATAGAATAATCTACTATAAACAATAAGATGTAATAACTCAGTATAATTCATAGATTCAGATACCCCTAGTGTCAAATCCATTGCGTGATAGATCCTGATGTAAGCCCATTTCAAAATGTACTGACTACTTACGTAAACATTCTAATACCAGCTTCCTTCATATTGGAGTCTTGTGAACTGGCACAGTTAAACATGAACTGCAAAAATTCTGGCCATTGGTTGACACCATCATCATCTATGTGGTTTCTGGCTAGTTCTGAGACTACATCGCAAATCTGTTGTGACAAAAAGGACAGTTGCACTTGAAAGTTGTTCACAAACAAAAACTTCAAAGCAATCAATTGATTTCATAGCATTAAAAATACATATAGTTATGCCTCAAATAGCCACAACTCAATTATGTTGCCATTATGTATAGTAAGGTTACCAACTTATCAGCTCAAGTCACTCATGGCAGATTAACTTGGAATCAATAATCAACATGGAATATGAGACTTTTGTATTATTATAGTTGCTTATGAATTTATACAATAAAATTTGAGTAGGTTCTCAATAAAACTAACCAACCTTTCGCCTCAATTGTTGACTGACATCCATTTGTAATGTAAGAAGCAGTTGCTCTCTGAGCATTGTTTGTTGCTCAAATGGTAGTTTCGGGAAAAACTCAAAGAATTCGGCGCTGAGCAACCGCCGTAAGAAAACAGCTGCAGATTGCCGCCCATCATCTCCCAAATCTGCATTTTGAATTGCTCCAACCAGATGTAAGACCTTTGTTTCAGTGGGAATGTTGTTGTATGCTTCCTAAATAAAAACAAAATTAACTTTTAGCAATAATTAAATAGATTTAGAATCTAAATCACTGAAATTTTTAATAGATAAAACATTTAAAAGATAAAAGCAAGAATATATAACTACATATCTATTAAATCTGAGGATTAAATACTACTTAACTTAATTTGAATATAATTACTGCGACCTTGAATGTTTTAAATAAAAATTCGCCTAAGCATAACTTTCATCTATAGAGAAATGATAAGGGAACATAATGAAAATCAATTTAAATGAACAGAAAAACGATTTATAGGTAGACACTACGTCCGAATGATTCACACACTTGCACTCACCGGTAAAACCACATGCACTCCAACTAGCGAAACTATAATCGTATGTTTGAGTACATACTTGAAATGACGTTATATTAATGTTTAAAATCAATTAAAACATACTCTTTACCTGGAGGTGGATAACATTCAATCTATTTAATTTCAAGATCTATGACAATTGATAGATTCGTTGATATTTCGTACGGTTCCACCATGACCACGTTTTGACACGAGGCCACTGCAAGTTTTATCAAAAATCTTGTTCGGTCTACAGCTTATCCTAGGATACAATATAAAATAAGAAAAAATATAAAATTACTTACTTCTGCTTGTGATCTGATGTCATTATCGGCAGATAATAAGCTGTTTAGTAACTGGTAAAACTGCGCCTGATCTCCTGCCATGTTGAACCTCTTGGAAAAGAAAAAGCTTTTTTTTTTCAACAAAGACAGAATCGGAATCCTTTATTTGCTCTACGTCTATTCTGAGTTGCCAGTATCTCTACGGTAACAGCAGCAACTCGCCAGCTATTTTCGGCAATTACCGATTTCGCATCCTTGTCATATCAATACAGAAGCAATGGTGTCGATTCTGGCATGATTCTCTAAAGCTAAACTTAAATTTGACAACAGTGGTGTCGATTCTGGCGTGATTCTCTAAACTTAAAACTAAATTTAATATCAGTCTCTCCTTTTCATTATGTATAGAGAATGACAGGGATGCACTGTTGTCAAATTTAAGTTAAGGTTTAGAGAATCGTGTCAGAATTGACACCAGTGTATCCTTGTCATTCTCTATATAAAATAACAGGACAGACTGATATTAAATTTAGTTTTATGATAGAATGATGCCAGAATTGACACCAATGCCGCATCATAAGGCACTCTAGTGCTGTAATTGGAAAACTACCACTGGCATGTCGACTAAATGGTACGTCCATGACTTACAGACACTGGCTTGGCTGTATGGATGCGATTCAACGCCGTTAAACTATTAAAAAACCGAGCCTTACAGTAGTCGCGTCGCGTATGATGTGTAACATTTGAAACCTCACCTTATATTAGTAAAAAAAGAAATAAAACCTACTACAAAAGGAATAAGCCATTTGAACATTATGTTCTAAAATCAAATCAAATAGCGCGCGCTTTCGCGACTTCCTATTACACATTTCCGTCCCATTTTAAGAAATCACTCCCACAAATTGCAGAAAAGCGAGAGGGAAGATGATCTACACATCGATGCTTTCATACGTGCAACATTACGTGTAAACGCAACTTATCAAGTCTACAATTGACTGGTTATTCAATCAACGTTTTCCAAGTGGCAATTTTCCATAGTCAATGGGTAGCGATTCTGGCGACAGATTGGTGCAATGGTGTCATGTAGCACCTGGTTTTGTACTCTTGTTTACCCTTCAACGGCCAAGTCATACAACATTAACTATAATAATAAAGAAATCGAAGTAAGGAACCTTAGTCTTGGCACGACTTTGTCTAGATTTCATTACTTTTTAGAGATAAACAAGCAGTTCCATCGAGACTTGGCTAGTTTTTTACAGAATGTTTTTGGTGGGATATCTTTTGACTACCAGGATATTTTTTTACAGTGTCATAATAAAAAGGCTAGTTTTTCATAGATCTATCGATTCATACTAATTACATTGTTGGCGGAGCTGGGTGTGTTTTGCCCAGTGTCCTTTCAGAAATAAAATTAATTTTGGCATTTGTTACAAACGCCAATGTCACTATAGTACGTATAATCAAAAACAAAAAAGGACATGTAAATTCACAAATTTTTATATTATCTATCTATTCTTAAAAATGTGTATTGTTAATATAATCAACTACAAAACTAAACATGCGTAATTAAATATATAATAAAAAGAAAATAGCTGTGATTTCTGATCTTATGTTAACTTGAACCTGACACGCAGTTAACGGCGGCCATTGGCATGCTTCAATCAAGATTATAATTGTAGAATAGGTTACGTCCACCTTTTTTTCAGGTCCGTGGTTTCAAATCTATCAATATATTATCAATCACAGTTCTATGAAACAAAACAAAGCGCAAAATAAACACAGTCACTGATTGGAAAGAACTTGAATATGTCAGTTACTGACTTTATAACAAGGCAATGGAACGTTTTAGAAGGTTTATTATGATTTAACAAGATGGCGTTGCCATCAATATGAGGCACTTATCCCAATTTTTAAAGATACCTATCGATACTTGCCAAAAAGTACTCATTTAGTAAAAGTATCGAATACAAAGTATCGAGTACAAAAGTATCGGTATCGAAAGGAAAATTACTCGATACACAAAGTATCGATACTTTTTTCGTGTCTCTACTTATTCAGTGCACTCTCTAACTAGTCTGTGATTCAGTGGCATAGATGTCAAAATTTGTCAAAGCCGTATATAATCTTAAAGGTTTTTTTTTGTGGAAACTTATTACTGTTACAACATAAAACTAAGTTCTAAAGAAGATAATATATCCAGGCTGTAAATTGAAAATGCATTTGAAGCCCTAGATTACAGATTTCTACTTTCGTTTCGCGATCAACATGGTACGGGAATCATATAACCTATTACTAAGGTCTTTGATTTATTTGTAACTGATTTATTAAATTTCAGGCGAGTACTATTATTTTGGCTGGTTTAGGTATGGCAGCCGTGGGATTCGCTGGCCGATACGTTTTAAGACAAATGCCTAACGCTTCAATGAAATTTGCAGAAGCTGTAAAGAATTTACCTAAATTTGATAGTGAAACTTTGGCGAATTCAAAATATTATAAAGGTGGTTTTGAATCTAAAATGACTAAAAGAGAGGCAGCTTTAATTTTAGGTGTAAGCCCCACAGCTTCTAAAGCAAAGGTTTGTTTAAATTTGAGGTATGAATATGCATTGGTCACTGATAATTAAAATGCATTCAATGAAGACATTCAATTTTCAGATCCGAGAGGCACACAGAAGGATAATGTTATTAAATCATCCAGACAGAGGGGGCTCGCCATTAATTGCAGCTAAAATTAATGAAGCAAAGGATATGCTAGAAAGTGGTAAATCTTAAAAATATTTCCGAATTATCATAATCACTATGGAAAGAATCAAATGATAGTATGATGGAATCTTAAAAAGGTCAAGCAATCATTATTTGTGTATATAATAGAATAAAATAGTATCACCTAAAAATATTTTTTAATATTTTAACATTGTAAACAGTTAAATATTACAAGTATACTCCCAGGTAGATTTCTTAAGCTTACCATATGGACAACAGAGCCTGCACAGAAGCAATTTGATTTATAAAAAGTTTACTGTCTATGTTTATTTGTCTGTGGTTTAGATCAAGAAGTTTGCCGCAACCTACACTACACAAAATACATTATGCTCTGAATATTATTATAATTTAATAAATCCAAGTAACTGAACTATTGCTTAAAAAAAACTTTTTTTTTTTTTCATTATTATAGGCCACTGACTGACTTAGTTGTGTTGGCTGTGGTTGCTACTACAGCTACTGTATTACTAAGGTATTGATAAATAAGTTTCTGAGTGGCACACACTTATGTATAAGGATAGAAAATGAATCCAACATAAAAGCAGTGTATATCAATTTTACTATAAACATACATTAACAAAGCAATGCCTAAAGCTAATCATAGACCTTATACACATTGACAAAATGGTGGAATTACAATAAATAGCTAATAATTTATCTAGAAAAAAACATTTTAATTGAGCAATGAATTTAACTTGTTTATTTTATTACACAATATGCCAACTTTATTGTCAATAGTATATTATTGTAAAGTTCCTTCCAGATGGAACAGGGTTATATCGCACTAATATTACAACAGTGTCGTAACTCAAAAAATGTCGAATTTGGGATAACACCATATTCAAACGCTGGATGCGATTCCGCACAAGGCAATAAAACCGTCGTTGAAATAATCAAAAAAACAAATAAGTGATGGCGTTATAAGTCAGTATAGATGACTGACCAACTTTCATACCCCCCGCTCAATATTGCTCTTTCTTTAGTTGCAACCAACAGTGATCGAGGAAGGACGTGCCGCTTTGCGTAATATTTCGAGTTGTAGTAGTATTGCTGATTCAGGTATGGAAAATTTAAAGTATTATTTTGAATTATTACGTTTTTGCTGATTTAAACTTTAATATGAAATGGGTGTATTTAATGTTAATACACTCTTACTGATTAATACAAGCAATATTTCAAATAATATTTTTATTTACGACATTATTATTGGTTTAGTTATTCATTTTAGACATGATACAGTATTGCTGATGCATGACGATTGCACACCTTTTAATGTTTAATTTGTTAGTATTAAAAGAAAAGCCCAATTGTTTATCATAGTATTTATCACGGTGTATTGGAATATGTTATTGTTAAATTAGGAAAATGTTTACTAAATATTTTATCTCGTTAATTTAGAGTTACTACACTCTATGTGACATGTGTGCTTTGTATGTGTTTTGCTAACAAGAACTTGATTAATTTGCAGAATCACTATGCATCGTGGGCGATTACTTATTGGTATGGCAATAAAAACGAGCGGCGAAAACCAGGACAAAGGACGAACCTGTTGAAGAATGTACACATCCCTCAAATTTATTACCTTCATTGTTGTCAAAATCGGACAAAAATAATAATAACTGTTTAATAAAAACTAGTTATAGTAATTTGTATCGGACTGACTCGGAAGACTGTTATTTTTTATTTTGTAATTACTTAGAAAATATTGTTAGTATCTAGAAAGACTGTTTTATTTTTGTTTGGTTTTGTTTTGGGATTTTTATTCTGTTTATTATTTGATTAAGTTTACATTTAATGCTTCAACTACTTTATAAGAATAATTAGTGATAATCATTATGTGTCGGAAAAGACTGTTTTTTATGTTTCGTAAGGACTTACTAAGTTTAGAAATAAATAAATAAATAGATAGATATTTATTTTTATACTTGTATGTATCTAGGAACTGTTTTGTTAAAGAAACTTTATTTTGTAATCACATATACAAAATATTTCACTATTTTGTATTATTTCAAACATTGTATGTTTTGTTCTAATTCAGTTTATTGCGAAATTATAATTGTTTCTTATAAAACTTTATTTGTTTTTATTTACTAATACCCTAACTCGGAGAAAATGTTCAAGTTATACGTAAATATAACACCAAAAACAATTCTTAGAATTGTTGTAACTCTAAAATGTATATTTAAACTATACCAAAAAAGCTATATTCAAATAGTAGTAACCCAAAATATTTCTAAAATAACTACACAACTAAAAATAAAATTTCATTTTGAACAGTTTGTTCGATATTATACAGTATCAACTCAAAAAATGTGAATAACTTTAGTTTCCGTAATTTTTAAAATTATTGGTATATATATAATTTCTTTAAATTCTGTAATAAAACACATAAAGAATGATTTTTTTTATAATCTATAATAAAAAGTGAATAATCAGTTTTTCCTTGATTCTGAAAAACAATCAATTTTGAGTTACGACACTGTTGTAATATTAGTGCGATATGTAATTTAACAAAAGAAAAGATTGGAAATATTTGGTGAAGCTAATAACATAATTATGCCAACTTAATTGAATAAGAAATGGTGTCAATATCTTTGTGCATAAACACTTGATTGAAATTATAGCAAAGTAGAGATACATAGATTTCTCATTTGGTGGTTATCTTTCTTATTTTAGTCGGAGTCATGTTTTCTGACAACTCACTGAAATCCTTCTGAATATATTTATGTATATGCAAGATCCTGGAATAAATCGGTGGGTACTATTATTACTGTACAACATTTTTTAAAGTAATTAAAAAAAACATTGATCATCACATAGTGCAAATACTGCATACAATATTGTGTTCGCTCTTGTAGTTGTAAGGGACTACAATATATAATTTGTAAAACTGTCAAAAAAATAGGTTCCTAATTTACTTTGTTCATTATAGTGTAGATCAAACACCTACATATACTTTTGTGTTATAACTTATGAGCTGTGTTTCTTCCACATGACAACTCCTGCTTTTGAGAACATTACCTTGTTACCATTACCACACTCTAATGGCGTGATTACACTTGGTTGTTAGCCCTTGTTACATGAAATACATTACTCGAATATGGGCACCTGAAGCAATGTTTACATTGGAATAAGGGCTGAATTATGGTGTCCATTGACCAAAACGGAATACGGGCATACTCTACTCCCTTTATTTACACTTAATTGTTTACCTAGATTTCATTGGTACTCATATTCGGTGACGACCAAGACCAAGTCAATGACCAAGTGCCATGAAAGCCAGTGCAGTGTAGATAGTTGTTATTATTGATGATTACTCTTGTGGCAATCAATAAATTAATTTCATACACGGCCATACTGTTTGTATTGAACAATTGGCCAATACTTTAATTGAATACAGTGCACACACTATCTTCATGCACAGTATGCAAGTGACTGATAGAATAGGTAGTTTTTAATTGTCATAGCAGGCCATATTGAGTGATAATATTGGCTATGATATAAATATTGCAGCCTGTTTTGGATGATGTTGTTAAGTATGTACAATACAAGCAAAATCTTACAAAGATATTAAATAACACTTAAAAGATACTCTATATTACACATTCAAGAGACATTTATTAAATTAATAAATGTCAATCTGAATTGCTATTGTGCAGGAAGCGACAGCACCGAAGTTAATCAAACTTAAAATTAATTGTCTGTGGTGCAGCCACATTAATAAAAAAAAGTTGTCATGAGTTTTTCAAAATGTTAAATTGAATTTATTGTAAATTGGGAGAGTAGTCATGAAATCATAATTTTTGGCATTTATCACATTTCAAGCAAGTTTTATTGCATTTTACTGAAGCTTATTGAAAAAACAATTATCACAAAAATAATGTCATAAATAAATACATTAATGACTGCACTTAGGATGTTAATTATTTGACTAAAGTTCAAGATTTTAGGCTTCTTGCTGTTGTAATGGCTTTTTTTTATTGGATACTAGGATGGTGAAATATACTTGTCCTTTTTATTATAATGTGTTGCTAGACAAAGACAAGCATCATACTAGCCAAAACAATGTTTGTGTTTATATGTGTATCATTACTAAGCAAAACATTTAATTGATTTCTGAGTGTGGTCATACAAGTTGTATACTAATTCATTTATCAAAAATGTGTATAAATTTTGATCTTCATTCCCTGTTTTAGAAGAAAACTAGTTTGTTTATTATGCAACAGAGGAGTTTTCCAGACAAGTGTTGAAGTCTGGTAGCTGTTATTGGTGAATGAGATCAAATTTTTCATATTATAAAGTTGCTTCATCGTGGTTCCTTTTGTTGTTGTTCTTGGCGCTGTTTTGCAAATCTTGCTCTTAATTTGGCAATAGTAGAGTTTGACAGTGTTCCAGGTACTTTAAAAATTGACTGAAAAAGAAATAATACTTAGTTAAATTATCTTTTATCACATCTGTTCAAAAAGACTAGTTTGTTCTTTGTTTACAGGGACCAAAATAGCATTTTAATCCCTAGGGTCTAAAAGTAATTTGAATTAGGAATGTGGATATTGTCAGTAAAACCTCCAATCGCCCAAGAGAATGAACAAGTAACAGGCTGTATAAAAACTATTCAGCTACTAAATAATAGAGGTGATCAAAAGTAGTGTTCACCTTGGAAGCAACGCTATTTTAAAGCTTGAGTGATGTACTCTGAAACCCTCTCTGTGCTCAGTTTCTGGATTCAGAAAACAGTCTTGCTTTTAAAATAGTTTGGTGCTCCCTTAGTAAACAATCTACTATTAACAACTGTTATTATTAAAAGTACTAAGGCCATTGTCAGACATGACTTCAGTGGAGTTAGAGGTTAATTGCCTAATTGACTTTGATTATTATGATTTAAGAAAGTGTGACAAGTCAAAGTACAACGGATATCACGATAAGCCATATTTGAATAAAATAGAAATAATTTTAACTGGGTACACTGTTTTCAATGCACATTAAACAAAGATAACTGTATTAGTAGATTATTTAACGGAAATTTATAAAAAGGTGGCTATATTTTATAGAAATAGTAAATAAAATATATAATATCACTAAGGGATTATATTACCAGTAGAGATAGTTATATTAAGTTTATTATGTACCTGCATAAATTCATGGCAATGTAATGCACTGGCATTTTTAACAATTACTTTGAAGCACTCTGCTAGTGATGTAAAATCATTACATGCCATTATTGCGCTTCTGTTACTTTTTATCAGAGTAATGCACACTCTGAACAATATCTTTGATCCTTCATAGAATAAACAGTCCCATATCCTCAGTACTGTTTCAATAGGTAAGACTTCAGCAAATAAACACACAAACCATTTTGTAGTGATGACAGCCCATGGCAAACCTGAAATTAAATATTACAGGTATAAAAAAAAACGTATTCTATATAGGTAAATAATATAACACTAAAATTTATTTCTAGATGAATAAACAAATTACATTAAGTAATTAGCTTATCAGTGAAATGTACCTAAGTTTATCACATGTTGGTGAACATCAGGTACTTTAGATTTGACTAGTTCTGATAACACTTCAATATCCACTATCAACCCATCCATTGTTCTTGTGTAGTAATCAGGTAGAATTTTTTCCACTAATACTTTAAGAAGCCAAAAGGAAATTTCTTCACTCTTCGTAGCTAATAATAATAGTCCTGAAAATATGTTATTTTAAGCAATGGTCTAATTTAACATTTTAGTAAATAAAGGTTTCACATTTTTTTGATATTACCAGCAATATAATTTAAACCCTGACAGTACCCAACCACTCTATTACTATGTGAATATGCTATGAGTATGTTGAAAAGGTGAGTCTGATGATTAGCTTCCTTGGCAAAGAATATGTTATCCGGAAATGTCCTAGGCAAATCTGTTTTGACAAGGTCTACAAGCTCTTTCTCAAATGGGCTGTCCAATATCTTTTGATATAAGTCTGGTTGCTGTTGTTTCATCATATCGGCTACTGATATTGCCATCCAAACTGATGGGCGATGTTCACCTGCAATATTACACAAGAAACTATCTTAAGCATAACAACAAAGTATAAAGTTGCTTTTTGCATCTGTCTGTATATCCATTAGTAACTCATAAGTCATGCAAGGATTTTGAGGCGGTTTCCGCTTTTAGTTAATTTTTTTTTCTTCAAAGGTATGAGATCAAAAACTACTCCACATCAATGAGAGGCGATCGCGGTTCACCACTACATTATTATAGTTTTCATATATTTTGTACTTACTAGGGATTCCTTTACGCACGTAACGTTTCACAGTGGTAGTTCTTTTGACCGACTTTCCTTCTCCGAGGAGTGTTGCCCATTTCTGAGCTCTTGTTGCGAGTACTTTTAAATACACCGACATGAAATCCTCGTAACTATGATAGTCAAAATCATCGTGTCGTTCGAATCCATACTCATCAACAGAGCTTAAAGAAAAGAATCAGAAATTTAAGGAGGTACTACAAATAGCGGGAGTCATGTCTAAATATTACAATACACTAGATACCTGAACTGAGATTGTGCCATTTTTATCAAAATAATGATTGCCCTAGTTCTTTGAAGTGTGCATAATATCAGAATATTCCAATTTATGATTTTACTAGCCCCTATTAATTTTAGTACGCCCCCAAAACAAATTGTCAACCCCACCACATAGACATGTTTATTTTTTCTTTCTTTTTAATGTTTTCATATGTGAAGGCAAAGGCAGTTGAGTCCATACAGCTTCGTCTAGTATATATTTTCGACAAAAACAGTATGAATCCAGAAGCTAAGATTGGAACGCACGATTGAGTTCTAAACCATACCTTTAAGTGTAACGAATATAAAGGGTTGCTTTCCAACTACAGAGCATAATGCGACTCAGTGCCGCACAATGCCGAATTATGCTGATGCTTAATTGGAACGTGAATTAGTTTTCAAATGCCTGGTGCATTATGCAAATTATTAAAGCTTTCGTTTCATTAAATAGTTTTTTTTTAAATAATCAAAGTTAATTCAAACTGTGTTAAAAAAATAAATATAAATATGGATGAAGGTACAAACATTGACTTTTTTTTTCAACACTGAACTTAGCGCATTCTGCTGGTGCATTTGAAAACTAATTCACGTTCCAATTAAGCATCAGCATAATTCGGCATTGTGCGCCACTGTGTCGCAATATGCTCTGTAATTGGAAAACCACCAATGTTCAAATGGCTTTGTAAAGTAAATACATCACATAAATCATGTCAAATCACTTTTGACACATCCCTTCAAACGGCAAACGGCCGACTGTCGGCAATTGTTATTACTATAAAGCGGACTTTTTGGCGGGCTTTTAAATAGGCAAGGATTCACCAAATGAAACTTGCATATGGCAATTGGCAACATTAGCCGTCCTGCCATAATAAAAGAAGAAGAAATAGGCAAGGCGCGATTTTTAAGTTTTATTTCATTTATTTTATTTTCATAGTTAAAACTTAGAGAAAGTTTAGTTTTCTAAAGTTTAAAGATGGACGAAGATAGTAGAGGTAAAAATACTAAGAAGAAAAAGTCTGTTAAGAGGCGTAATGAAGAATTTTTGTCTCATGCTTCGGATCACACATCCGATGATGAAGCAGAAAATAAATATTTACCCTACCGCAAGCAGGATCACTTCCGTATTTGTCCGCTAAATTCTCAAGGAACTGTGTTCTCTGTATATTTAGAAAGTACCAAACCAGAGGAAAAGTTCGGTAATAAAAATCCAATTTATTTAAATAGGTTTTTTAATAGATTAATTAACGGAGTTAAACAGTTAAAACGTATAAATGCTTCCAAATATGCCGTAATTTTTGATAATTCAAAAAATGCCAATGCATTACTTAACAACTCACAGTTTTTAAAGAGTCAGGAATTGAAAGCCTATATACCAGCATCACAAGCTGAATGCATTGGAGTGATATTTAAATAAATGTTTTAAGGTTAGAGAATCATGCCAGAATCGACAAGTTTAGGTTTAGAGAATGTAACGCCAGTCCCATTATCTATACTCTGACTATGACTCATAGGGTACGAGTACGGGTGCGGCCAGAGTGCACTCAGATTCAGATTCCGAAAACAAGCGCGAAAAATAAACAGTGTAGTTAAAGCAGGGTGGCCATAGTGGCCGCAGGCAACCTGCTTAAACTACACTGTATATTTCTCTGCGGGCACTGTGGCCGTACCCAAACACTCCAAGAAACATGAGAATGCGTCGACACTGACATTCTAATGTAAAAAAATAAAGATTTATATAACTCAAGATTAAGCTGTATGCATTGTTATCTTTACCTTCCCTAAAAAAGGAGTATCTTAAAAAAAAAATAAGTAGTCAAAATTTAAATTCAGTGTAAAAGTTGCACTTAAAACGTACGTTTTGAACGTAGCCTATCCAAAAATTTGACACTTGACACAAAGTTTTGACATTATTGTATCCATCCTTTTCAAGTTTACAGGGACCGATAGGGACATAATATTGTCAAAAAATTGTTTCGTTTGAATCTATTTAAAAAAATATTTTTGCTTTATTTTTCGTTAGTATCAGTATTAAAAATACAAACTCGGTAGGTACCTATCTAATCAAATTGAATTTCAATGCAATGTGGTTTTTATAGTCTTTCAAATTCTTTGTTAGATTTTTTTCAACGAAGGCTCTTTTACTCTTTCAGTTTACATATTTATTGAATTAGAAATATGGGCCCTCCACCGGTAGTTACTGGAATATCTCCAAAGGAAGGCCCTCCAGGCACGAGAGTTACTATCCGAGGCGAGTTTTTAGGTACCAGTGCCATAGATCTTTTTGGTAAGTTCATAATGTTTTCAAGTGTATCAATAAAATTTTACTGTACTTCATGTTTTTTCGTCAAAAGGGGCGTAAAGTTTATCTTTATAATAATTATGATACGTTATTCTTTAATCAACCTTTTTCTTAGGCTTGAAGATTTGTGGATGTGATTGCCTACTCTCAGCAGAATGGAAAAGCAAAAATAAAATAGTGGCAAGATCAGGACCATGCAAGGGTCGTGGAGACATCATAGTCACCACGAAATCAGGAGGAGAAGGAACTTCTACTGTTCAATTTAGGGGTGAATATTGTCTTTATTATTATATGGGTGCTCCTCTACTAATTGGAAACTGGTCCATACTAGACTGTCCCTGGCATATTAGCTTATTTCCTGTTTGTTTCCTTCTTGCTTCTATTAATGGATTTAATAAAAAAAATGTGACTTCTTTCATGGCTTTTTTCTTTTCGCGATAAGTAGTACAGTGCTCTCTCCAGGTTTGTTTTATTTATTTATTCATGGAAAACAAACAGCATGTTAAAACTAAGGATAAAACGAGATGATGTAGCATTGATATGCCTTATACACTTTTCACAAATACAACTCAAATAAAATATACTTAATCCAATTGAGGCCATAGATTAAGTTAAAACTATATAAAAATAAAAACACAGAAGTAAAAAATTAAGCATAAAGCCATACCCACAGAGAAAATGGTGATAGAAATATAAAGTAATTTAAATTAGGTTTTTCAGCATTGTGCTCACGACGACTTATACTCTTGACTAATTTCCTAGTGCCTTTTTCTTTCTTCTTTTGATTTTTTTCTTATTTCCGCCTCTCTTTTTCTTTCATTTTTTCTCTTTTGGGGGTCATTTTGGAGTCGTTGATATCTCAAACGTTTCAGCTGTACGTTTTTGTCCTAATATTTTTTCTCTAGTTTTCGGTGGCATTTTGGAACATTACCTATAATAAGCAAATTATATTAATAAAAATTGTTTATTATTATGAATTACGCCTTTGTACCTTAATCTCTATACATCATGTTTATGTTGTAACCTGTTTGTGTACAATAAAGTGCTTACATACATACAAATACAAATTATACCCAATGTCACTCTTACAACTGAGACATACCCAACGATCATATGTTAAAATCTATGAGGCTGTTTTGGCTGCGGAACGTGCGAAAAAAAATACAGACATGCATAGAGTAAAACCATTTTAAATTGAATACTGTCTTAGTCTTAGTAGAACGGCGGGCTGTTTCCGCAACTCGACACACAGTGCCTATTTTGCGTGGGGATTGGCATCAGTCCTGCCATCCCAGCTCCTCCAAAAAGCTCAGCAGTCCCCGGATGTTGCTGCAGGCTTCTACTAGTGTCCGCGGGCTTCCCATTAGAGAAGTCCTTTGTCTTGCAACGCCTCTGCACTCCAGCAGAACATGGGCGCTCGTCTCCTCTTCCTCCAAGCAGGCTCTGCACAGAGGGCTGTCAGAAATACCTATATTATAAAGGTGTTTGTTGAAGTAGCCGTGACCCGTGAGTATACCCACGATTTGTTTCAGGGCCTGTCTAGGTAGTCGGATTAACTTACGTGATAGCTGCTGGTTTACCTTAGGAACGGCTTCCCTAGCTTGCCTGCAGTCAGTGTGTTTTGCCCAATATTCATCGTGTTGTCGTTGACAGCGCTCCCTTATCCAGGTTCTCAGCTGTCGATAAGGTATGGGTACAATTGGCTCCGGGCCAATGGCCGTCCTGCTGGACCCCTCTCTAGCCGCTGTGTCCCTTAATCCATTGTAAGGTCAGTCTATTGTCATTGCAAATATTGGATAACTTACAGTGGCATTCGTAAATTAACCCTGATGTCATTATATTGTTGTCTAGTGCCTGTAGGACAGAAGCGCTGTCAGAGAGAATACGAATATGTTTTCCTCGTACCCCGCGGCAGTCTATCGCCTCTGCGGCTCTAATGATGCCCACACACTCTGCCTGGAAGACTGTGTTATGTGCTCCCAATGCTGTTGAGATGTGTATATTTAGGTCTTCGGAGAAGACACCCGAACCTGTCCCGCAGTTGGTTTTTGAACCATCCGTGTAGACCCTTAGCTCCTTGTGCAAACAGCGGTCCGGAGTGTCTTCATACAGTTGTATTTTATATTTTTTGTCAAATACGTACGTCTTAGGAATAAGGTCGGTTTACTGCTGCAAAGTACGGAAAGTGCCTGTGTATGTCTGCTAAGATACTGGTATGTGGAGAGTTGTTGTCCCTCCATAGCCCCAGCATGCTTAGGCGAGTGGCTGTACAAGCAGCCTCCTGTTGTATAAATAAATGGAGTGGTCTCACATTAAGTATAGTCTCCAGTGCTGATGTGGGAGAGGTTTTCATGCAGCCGGTGATTGCACAGCAGGCTCGCCTCTGGAGACATCTTAACTTATTTGTTGTCGTTACCTGGATTGTCTTGGTCCACCATACTACTGCTGCATAGCTGATGATGGGCCTTATTATTGTCGTGTACAGCCACCTGACAATGAACGGTGCTAGTCCCCAAGTTTTGCTAATCATTTTCCGACACTGCCAGAAAATGATGTTCGTCTTCGTAGTAGTTTTGTCTATGTGTGATCCCCAGTTCAGTTTAGAGTCTAGGGTTACTCCTAGATACTTTACCTCATTGGAGAGAGTGAGTGTCGTGTTTAAGAGTTTCGGTAGCCGATAGTCACCTAAGGATCTTTTGTTCGTGAACATTACCAGTTCTGTCTTCACCGGATTCACCTTGAAGCCATAGTCGTCACACCATTTTTCAACCACCTTCAATGCTCCCCTTGTAACATCACAGGCGGTGCTCGCAGACTTACCCGGGACCATGATTGCCAGGTCGTCCGCGTAGCCCACCGTGTGGAAGTGAAGGTTGTTTAGTTTGGTGATTAAATCATAAAGTAATAAAGGTGCCCAAACATAGATCTTTCCGTCTGAGACAATCCTCTATTTTACTTACGACTGCATGTAGTGCAGATTCTGTCCACTTGCCTGGACTATAGGCGTGTTGGTTCGGATGTAATGGAATATTGACTAGTTGGTTGTCTCTCAGCTCTCTGTCGCACAACCTTTCTAGAGTCTTTAGTAAAAATGATGAGAGACTTATCGGTCTGAAAGATTTCGCCTCGTTGTAGTCTGCCTTACCTGGCTTTGGTATAAAGATTACCTTGACCTCCCTCCAGAGCTTCGGCGTGTATCTAAATGCAAGACACGCTCTCAGGAGGGGCACCAGGATAAGGATAAGCGCTTCACCTGCCCATTGGAGCAGCGCCGGAAAGATGCCATCTGGTCCGGCTGCCTTGAATGGTTGGAAGCTGTTAATGGCCCACCTTAACTTGTCTGTAGACACTGTCCTCAATGCAGTGTTCCAGGATTGTTCCGTGGGGGTCAAGCTAGTGTCATTCCAAGTATGTGTCGTGTGTATGATGCAGCCCGGGAAGTGGGTTTCAAGTAGTACCCTCTGTGCCTCCTCAGTTGTTTCTGTGAGGGAGCCATCAGCCTTCCGAAGCTGCGCTAGTTCTTGCTGCTTGTCTTTAGATAGTAGTTTCCTTACCTTGTTTGCCTTTGTGCATGAGTCTATTTCTGAACAAAATTTTCTCCAAGACCTATTGCTCCAGTGTCGAATGCGTCTTTTGTAAAGTGCCTTGGCATCTTTGTACGCGTCCCAGTCCTGGTCGTCACATGTATTCATGGCCCTGTTAAAAAGTCTTCTTACCTTTTTTCTCAGTTTTTCCAGCTCGGGACCCCACCAAGACTTGCTGGCATCCGAGCTGGATGATGGCGTACTGAGAGGACAGGCTGTCTGATAGCATGAGATGATTACTCTTGTTAATTCCTCAGCTGTTTCGTCTATCTTATCAGTTTCGTTCAAACTTTCAGACTGCATATGTCGCAGTGACCGAGTTACCTGTTTGCGATACTGGCTTCTGTTTGTTTTGCTAGGTATGCGTCTGGGTGGCTGGGTAACACGCTGTACCGCGATGTTGAACCTAATCCACCTGTGGTCAGAGCAGGATGCCTCTGGGGACACGTGCCATTCAGAGATTAGTTCCGTTGCTCTCCTTGATGCAAGTGTAAGGTCGATGATGGATCTGCCTCTTCTTGTTACAAAAGTAGGTTCAGATCCTGTGTTTATTATATTGAGGTTAGTGGTAAATAGGTAATCTACTAATTCCTCACCTCGTTTGTTGCTTTTCGTCATACCCCACAATTGGTGGTGGGCGTTGGAGTCGGTGCCGATGATCAGCGCCTTGTCTGTTTGTTCGCAGTGTCTCACCAGCTCAGCCAGTTCCCCTGACGGAGTCTCCTCTCCTTCAGGCATGTAGGCAGAGGCAACTACCAGGACAGGTACACTTGGATTTTGCTGTTGTATTATTTGGATTGTTGTTATGTCGCTAGAACAAAATTGTGTCATTATTTTTCCCTGTAGGTGTTTTGAACATACTATGCAGGTCCGCGGTGCGCGGTTACCTGGGTTGTAAAAATTCTTACCACCGGTGTTGTTGAGGCCACATATGATGTTGGATCTGATCCACGGCTCCTGGACCAGAGCAATAGCCCCATCGTTGTTGTCCTCCAGCCACTTCCTGAGTTGAGCCGTTGCGGTGCGACTGTGCTGGAGGTTGGTCTGCAGGACTTTGACTTTACTCGGTGGAGGCGCCATCGGACGCAAGCAAAACATCGACATCCACCTCCTGCCCGATGTCGATTCCACCCAGTTTGTCTGCCCATTCGTCGATGACGTCCGCTACTCCTTGCTCACCCAAAGTGGGATCCGCCGGAGACGGAGTCACTGTCACCTGCTTCTGGTCGGGCGTGGATGCTGCTATGCCCCCTGATGTGCTCGGCGACGGAGCAGATGTTGGTGGCTCTAAAGGCGGCAGGCTCTCCAGGTATTGACCGCCCTGGTTCCTGAACCTAACGTACACCGAACCCACAGGTAGCACAGTGTCCTTCCTCTCTCCAGAAGCTTCTCTGCAACGTCCCTGGTGGTGCTGAACACCAGGAACGTGTTGTCATCACCTGCGATGGCCTTATGCAGTAACCATCGGTCGACGTCTGCTTGTTTATTCTGATAGCGCAGCAGCTTGGCTATCGTATGTGGTTCCCTCGTACCCGGGACAAGAAGACCACACACCACCTTCTTCGGCCTATCAATTTGGCGCTGCACCATCAGTTCATCGTCATACCCCGGGACCTTTAGGCCAGCTACGGTCTTTTTTACCCACTCCAGCGTGCGGGGAGTCTCACACCAGAGGCTGAGAGCTCCGTCTCCAATAATGGGCATGCCCTTAAGGTTCGGGCCTTCGTCCGTTGAAGGTCCTGCCATAAGGAGTTCCTCAACAACGGCGTCCTCCAGAGCCTTAAGGACAAACCCAGCATGGGCAGCGCTGATGTGGCCTGTCTTTTTGCCCGTAATTACTACGAGCAAGTCGGCTGTAGCAGCATCCGCGAAGGATTTTTTGTCCGTTGTTCGACGCGGCCCCTCGGATCTTGGTTTTTTATATTGACCCCTCGGTGTCGAGACCGTATCGTCCAGTCTGGGCCTTTTCGAGGCCTCTTGTCTGTCCTTTGTCGGTTTGTCTGTCCGTCTGTCCTTTAGCTGTCGGTCTGTCTGTCTGTACCTTGTCCTGGGTTCCTTGACCCGTAACAATCTGCTGGGCGGCCTTGCCAGCTGCTGTTTTGTTACGGGCCTTCCTAGCCCTCTGTCCGAGTCTGTGCCGGTCGGTTGTCGTTTTGTGTTTGTCATTGTTTGGATTCCCAGTCTTGTCCACTGCCTTCCGATTCTTACGTCGGTAGGTAGCGACCTGCCAGGAGTCCAAGTCACCAGCCACGTCCTGTGGTCGTTGCCTGACACCGGGTTGCCCCTTCACCAAGGCTTCCAACGCACGGGACGTAGATGGTACGTCTAGGTCTAGGTCAGTGTTGGTCGGCCTGACACCGGGTTTCCCCTTCACCAGGTATACCGACTCTTTGTCTGTTATATTCGTCTGCCTGTCACCGGGTTTCCCCTTCACCAGGTCTCCAGACGATGTCATGTCCTTGTTCGTTTTTGTATGGGATCTGTTGGTTTCCATTAAACGTGTCTCAAAAAAGTTCATCCTCAACAGTCCCACCCGCCACGGAGCCACAACTGGGATGCCGATATCAAAAATCAAGGCACCAGGATTGTGGTGAGGATATAGGGGCACAGGGTTTTCCTCACAGCGCGACATCGGGAACTGCAGCTGCATGGCTGGTAGTCGATCCCAACTACCAGTGGTTCCATGCAACCTTGCTCCTTCAGCATGGCCAGAGTCCATCGCTAGATGTTAAGAGCGACCCCCACACCCCTCGCCGGCGACCCATAGACGGTAGACGCCTTGACCGTTGCCTCGTGGTCGGCTACACCACGAAGTTACCGTCTCGCTGGAAATCCGGGCCAAAGTGCTGTGTTGCTTCCGGGGTGCCGCAGCTACCCTTTCCGCTCAAACACCAGGATCCCTTCATCCCTGCTTACGGCGATGCTGCGCAGGTCCTAGCGCAGGAGAGGCTGACGCACCACCAGACCGCCTCCCTACTCCTGGTGGATGGGGGGGCAAGTCGTCTGACCATTTCAGTTACGTCTGTTTCATAGGGAATCAGACCAATAACGGGCGGCAACCACGTGAAGGAAAACAGCCAGGCTTGTCTGGGGGATCTACACGACCTGCGCTCGCTCCCCAGACCATTCACCAAATTACCAGACGGGACGCAGAATGGTAAAATAGGTGATGTGTTAGGTTTAGCCGTCTTTGTGCTATATATAAACCTGACACATCCCCCGCCCAATTGAATACTGTACTCTAACCTATACTTAATAAACAACCCTCTTCTAACGTAAACGGGTAAAAAGGCAAAAATTTCAATGTTATTGTAAGCACTGCCTTTATTGTGTATGTTTGGCAAATTAAATGTGACGAAACCTGAAAGAAACAGTCCCCTGTGATATAAAACAGTCACATGTGTTATGAGATGGCAGGGAACTGTTTGCCAGGGGAATGATTTTCAGTATATTAAGTTTCAAAAGCATATTAAGTTTACCTTAGAACGCATTGGTGACACTAAATAAAATGTCGACGGCGCGCTTCGTTTGCAACCGAACGTGGTTGAGGTGGTTAAAGTGCATTTATTATAATATTACAATATTATATTACTACATAAGCAAAAGCGTACTAAGAATAACTAGTACTCTATCGTTTTTAATATATAGAACTCAGTAATATAAACATCTTATACTTTTGATTTTCCAATTAGTGAAGAAACACCCATATAACACAATGTTTTTATCTGAATAGAATCACAAAACTTTATGTAAGGCATTTTCATCAAAAAGTTAAATAATATTATGTACAATTTTGAAATTTGGAACTATTTTTATTATTGGAATATATTTTTATTATACTGTTATAAATACAATTTAAAATTGAACATTTTTAATATTGATTGTTTATATTTTGGAGTACAAAAAATAAAGATCATTAATAACATACACTTTCTGTAAATGATGCATGTTGCTTCGACTTTTTTGATGTGTGTATGTTTCAGTTTTACATTGATAAAAAAATGGTTTATAAACACAATATGGAATACATGAATGGATAATTCTTCAATAATGTTGAAATTATTATTTTCGTCTTGTAATATTTTCACATCAAAATTTACAGTAAAAATATATAATATATTAATAATCATTGTATGTTTATTAATTAGTAAATCTTGGTGATATTAATAATAAATAATTATAAAGGTTGTATGAATAAATTATCAGAAGTTAAAGATATAAAATATCCTTTTTTCATATTGTTATTATATAAACTAAGTTCTCTAATTTATTTAAGGGTATCATGAATCCATCGGCCCTGTCAAAGAAAGTGCTGTATGGGTGGAAGAATCTATCCCCCCATCCATGCCATGGGGACGGAGACCAATGTCGCCAGTTTCCTACACTCCACCTGATCCTTTAGGACTCTCTACAGAAGGAGATGATTGTAAATTTCCAGAAGAAGAACTTAATGAATTGTTTCCAGATGGGTTAGTCATTAAATGTTGTATATAAATTTAATGTTCTTTATAAACATATACTAATTTTAGTGCAATACTGTTTTTGTTTAAAAGTGCAGGCAGTCCTCATACTTACTTGTTTTCAGATCAGGTAAACTGTCAGATGAGAATTTCCAACCTGGCTGGTATTTGCTTGAACATCACAGTAATACCTCCTATGAAGACCTAAAGGCAGGAATGGTGTTTTTGCAGAGAAAGGTATATAGAACCACTAAGTAACTTAATATTTGTTGGGTATTCTTTTTGATTAATTAGTTTGTAGCTTTATAACTAAGATTCTAAACTTGATTGCATACTATACTATAAATACGTAGTACCTATGCACTATGGTATGTAGTTAAAGGTACAAAAATAAATAAAAAGTTATGGTATTTACAGGGTTTTAAAAGAAAAAAACTAGAAAAATAGTTAAATTTTTACCTTAAAAAAAAACTAGTAAAATTTTCTATATATTTAAACACATAGCAGTTAAATGCTTTAATAATTAAAATATAAAAACAGCCATAAAATGAAAACATTATGTACTTCTGATAACTATTGCTGATATTTTATATAATGCATGTACAAACACGGTCACGGGCGCGTGAACAGCTCTAAGGCGATTTTGCCATGCACTCGTTTTGTACGATTCGTTAGTGGGCGGGCTCTCGACTTTTTATGAATGAACAGCAATAGCTCGGTTGTGTTGTGATGAATGTATGCTCATGATATTACATTTTGTTTGGAATTCGTAAATGATTTAATGTAATGAATGTCCTCTTTTCAATTTACTACATAATTAAATCCGGAAACAGTTGTAATCGTTCGTGCTATTCACGAAGTAAGTTCTGTAGATAAATTAACGACTTATTTATTTATCAGAATCATAACTCCTGAATAATTCAGTGATATTTTATATGTCATTAACAGCTGCACTCAAAGACGTCAATTAAAGGTAATGCTTCATTAAGTCGCGTGTTGTCTTATTTTGTTTTACCAAGAAATTTTGTTTCTACAAAGAAAGTGACAGCATCAACTTTAATTTAGTTGAAAAGTTAATTGGCATCTCTGAGTACGACATCGATTCAGCGCGACCTAAGGGTCTCACAAATTAAATTTTGCCCATTGCTTAGAAAGGGGTTTGTGATTAATCAGGTATAACGCGCGCTCCAATTCAAGCAGGAAATCTGCTATGCCCTACGTCTTTTAAAGGTAAATCGCTGGTAAAAGTAAATACTTAATATATAAAAACTATCATTAACGATATTATATTTATTTTAAAACAGATAGGGCATAGCGGATTTCTTGGTGGAATTGGAGCGCCCGTCTGGAAAAGTAACCTTTTTCTTACGGAAGACCACAGTAAAATAACACTTCCTACCTTTTGGTGTTGTGTTTCTGTTGGTGAGGAGCTCGATGGCGCAAGTGGTTAGCGCGTTCGGCTGCGGTCGTTGAAGTTAAGCAACTTTCGCAGTGGTCGGTCATTGGATGGGTGACCAAAGATTTACTATCTCGAGCTCCTCCGTGCTTCGGAAGGCACGTTAAGCCGTTGGTCCCGGCTGCATCTGCAGTCGTTAGCACTCACCAATCCGCACTGGGCCCGCGTGGTGGGTCATGGCCCAATCTCCCTATTCCATTCATAGGGAAGGCCTGTGCCCCAGCAGTGGGGACATTAATAGGCTGATGATGATTCTGTTGGTGAATAAGGTTTTAGGGCTCCACGGGGACGGGGATTGGGTTCAAGCCAGCAAGGTGAGAATGGCTGGAGCGGCACACTTTTCTATCGCATCAGTTATCTTCAGACTTCACTAGTCCCCACTCACACTTAAATATCTGGCTGGGGAGGGGAAATTTTCTGCGCCTTGTATTAAAAAAATAACAAAATATATGTCACTGACTATTAGATGCTAACTGTTATGAGCCTCGGGAAGAATGGCTTTTTAAAAAAAACAATTTTATTTATTTAGTAGGACAGCCGTCTGGTTAGGAAGTTGGATCGAGACTGCGGATCGTATGGATGGGACTGGCGGCTATGAGTACATAATGATGAGCTTGCAGTCTGTGCAAGGCAAGGGTGCATGGTGTGCTAAAGGGGATACATATACTATCTATAACACCTCCCAGGGGTAGACTAAACATCGGGGTTGAAAATACGATGTTTAGGAAGGTATTTGAAAGTCTGGGTATATATACATATATATACAAATTTTATATATTTCTGCGAATACTGGGACATGGGATGACTTCTACATCTGCTTGATGTTTTATGACTTTTAGAGGTAAACCTGGTTCATGCTCTGTTGGTTGATCAGAAGGAAGGTCTGCTGGAGTAGGCTGTATAGGTCTGGGAAGAAGGTAGGTAAGACGGCTGCGACATTTAATAAACTTAATTATTTTAAAAATACAGAAAGAACAAACAATGCAGATTATAACTATAAGTAATATCGAGTAATGAGTCTCGTATTTAATAATTTGGTGTTGATTTAAGATTGAATCTGCTTGGTCAGATATCGATCTCAATCTTGATTTTGTTTCTTGTGTGAAAACGTCCAAGTCAATATTTTGTAATTTCAAAGGAGCCTCGTTACTTGTTATTATCTTAAACTTATCTAAAGTGCAACAAGAGTCATTAATAATATTAAAATCGGATTTTACAACGGTGGAGTTTATTATTATATTGTTAAGTCTAGGTATCAACCTAGTGCTTTTACAATAAGATATACAATTAGTTGGGGTTGTAAGTATTCCTGTACCAATTATATTTATTTCAACAATTCCTTGATTTGGACATTCAATATATAATTTATTATTTTGGGATTGTACATATATCCAATTATTATTGGAAAGTGATTTCCATAAGTCTATGTGTCCGTGAACGAAATCGGTTTTACACTGTACCGGTAACACTTTTATCACATTTATCATTAATTCACTTTCACAACTCGGATTCGCACTGGTCGGGAACACTGTCATGACGTCACAAATATATTCGCGGGAGTTTATCGTTATGCATTCTGATATTGAGTCCGTATTACAATATTCTGATTTGTCCTTGGTCATTGCTATGTATTTACTACTTGGTATTACATATGTAAAAGAGTTTGGATTTATACTATCATGGGGAGTAGGTAGTGCAATGCTGTGATACAGGTTGAATTCCTTAGGGGATACTAAAGGTATCCTTAATACAAATACAATCTTGTTGCTTAAACTATAGCATACTATACTAGATATATTCATCAGAGTATGAATATTATTTAACGCTAGGCTAACAGGTAACTTATAATCTACAGGTAAGTATCTATAGTTATCGACGATTTCTTGGTATAGCTCCGTAGGACGGAGTACAGCCGGGTGCAGAATGTTTTTATTACTAAGCGTGATAGCGCTTGTTATGTCTTCAAGCCGGAACGATAACGTTAGTATGGATGCTTCTAAACTATTGAGTATTGAGTTTATGTTTGACTTTATAGTCAATTCATTTGAGATTAAAGTTAAGTTTTTTAATTTTAAAGAGAAATCATCGATAGCTTGGTTAAGGCTAGCTTCATTACTGTTTATTATATGTAAAGTTTCATTAAATTTTGATAAGGTGGAAGAGGTAACCAAAATATTTTCTTTCATTAATGATGCTAACCTTTTCTCATTATCATGCATACTTCGGATGGCTTTATCATATTTGATGCCATCATCCTCACTCAGAGTTCCGAATATAGTTTTGGAGAGAGAGCCAATACCACCTATCCATGCCCCTCGTTTGAACCTTTTGTCTGTTAAATGAGAGATAGCTGAATATTCCGAAACTAGATCATGATACCTAACTGTCAGAGGTGACAATGTGTTATGGCATTCTAAGTTATTAGAGGTTTCAATTTGTATTTGGTTGCATATAAGACGCAAGGTGCCTAATACAGAATTGATATTTTTTATGTGTGGGTCAATGTACGAGATATTCAAAGGAGTTATTATATCTAAGTGGCTTACATGAATTTTGAGTTCACCAATTGGGTCAAAGTATATACCGGAGCTTGAGTCGATCTTCCGGACATATTCCGGATGACCTTGGGCCAGTATGCTGTAAGGAAAAGAGGCATATACAGAACTCTGTATAAGTAGTGTACTATTTGTATATATCTATATTAATCCTATGTAAAAATAATAAATTGATAATATTTGTGTAAGCGTATAACTAAGTAAAAGTGTAAATTATGTATATATGTAGTTTGTATATAAGATTTAAAAGTTAATTTATTTACCTATGTTAATTAAGACTATATTTAAGTTGAGGTTGAAGGCCCTTGAGCCTCCACATGTTTGACCTCGTCAAAGTGGTGCCTTACGTGGCGCCTATTTATGAGTAAAGACAATGTATGGTTACCATGGATTTTAGTAACCTTGTAAGGGCCCTTCCACAATGGGGATAAGGCCTTGCGTTGTCTGACGTGATTTTTTAATAACACGTAATCTCCAACTTTGTAACTTACGGGACGTGTATGCGAGTCATAATAGGATTTAGAGTTTAATTTGGATTTTTGTATATACTCTATTGCCTTGTCGCGAGTATATTTCATTCTGTGTTGCAACATTTTGACATATTCCGGGTAGGTAGGATTTGTGGTATCATCGTAGACAGAGTTTGGGATGCGAGGTTTGTACCCGAACAACAGTTCGAATGGTGAGTAATGAGTAGTCGAATGTACTGCGGTGTTGTATGCCAACATGGCAGTATACACATATCGAGGCCAATTATCCTGATTCTCATTGACATAAGACTTAAGATATTCCTTGAGGGTCGCGTGTGACCTTTCCAGAGCACCTTGTGTCTGGGGATGGTAAGGAGAGGACCAGAGTTGTTTAGTTTTTAGAAATTCGCAAGTTTTCTTGAATATTTCGGCTGTGAAATTGGTACCTTGATCGGTAAGTATATACTTTGGTATTCCGAAAAGGGAAACGAAATGAAGAAGGCATTCGGAGCATTCCTCGGCAGTAATACTGCGAATTGGGTAGGCTATAGAGAATTTAGTAAGATCATCTTGCATAGTCAATATGTATTTAAGTTTAGCCGTACCGGATTCTGGCAATGGGCCTACGATGTCCATAGACAACCGCTCAAATGGGCCTGTCGAAGTAGAGGTTATAATCATTGGCGCTCTGTTAGTTTTTCGCAAGGCTTTATTAATTTGACACGATGAACACTTCCTCACATAGTTCTCAATATC